CAAGGTTCACTCGGCAGCCCTCATTTCTGCGCCAGTAAGCCGATCAGAAAGCTCACGACCACAAGTGAGACTTCCGCCAGCAATCCATACACTACTGCTGATTAAGAGAAGGATTAGAAGGCAGTACTGTCGAACCGGAGATCCAATTGTGGACAGGATCTACCGTAGAGTGTCGAACCGTGTCAAAAAGCTGCTGCAGCTGAATAGACAAAGGGAAACCGACCGTTTTTTGGAAAATGTTTCTCCAGATGAATCCTCAAGTCACTCCCTATGGAGACTGACGAGAAGGCACAAACAGCAAGTGTCCCCCAAATTTCCGATCAGAAAGCCTGATGGATCTTGGGCCAGATCCCCAAAGGAACGGGCTGATGCATTTGCCGAAGACTTGGAGGATCGCTTCAAGCCTTTTAATACAAGTTCGGCAAGCATGAACAGAAGGGTTCAACTCACACAGGAGAGCCCAGGCCAGCTAAGCCTCCCAGTTGCTCCAATCACTGTCAACGAAGTATCAGACCACATAGCAGCACTTAAGACAAGAAAAGCTCCTGGCGATGATGGCATCGACAACATAACACTAAAAGCATTGCCGGTCAGAGCAGTCCTATTTTTAGTGTTAATCTTTAATGCGGTATTGAGATTGGGGCATGTTCCAAGCCAATGGAAAAAGGCGAGAATATGCATGATCTATAAGGCTGGAATGAGCCCCTCGTCCCTAGACTCATACAGGCCTATTAGTTTGTTGCCCACGATCGGAAAACTATTCGAACGTTGTCTGCTTACGAGACTGCTGTCTTTGGACAGAATTAAAGAAAAAATTCCTCCCTTTCAGTTTGGGTTCCGAAAATCTCATGGCACACCGGAACAGCTAAATAGGGTGGTGAATTTTATCCTCGAGGGTTTCGAAGCCAAAGAGTACGTAGTGGCAGCGTACTTAGACATAAAACAAGCCTTCGACAGAGTCTGGCATGATGGGCTACTCTGCAAAATTAAGCCCTTACTGCCACCTCAACTATATTTAATTGTGCAGAGTTATTTGACAAACCGGTCATTTTCGGTAGTACTCGATGGAGTTGAGTCAAACATGAAGGCCATCGGGGCTGGCGTTCCTCAAGGGAGTGTGCTAGGGCCCACGCTCTACACCCTCTTTACCTACGATATGCCCACTGGCTCTACAATTGAAGTCGCGGACCCCCACGACCTTACAATCGCCACTTTTGCAGATGACACAGCCATCTTGTCAAGAAACGAATGTGTCTACGAAGCTACCGACGTCCTGCAGCAATATCTCCACCAATTTGAAATGTGGGCCAAGCGCTGGAATATTGGCATTAACTTAAATAAATGCGCCAATGTGACCTATGCGCTACGGAGGGACATGTGTCCGGGAGTTTTCTTGCGCGGCCAATTGGTGACGCACTTCAACAGCCACAAATACTTAGGTGTGCACCTAGACAGACGCTTGAACTTTAACAAGCACATCACAAGTGTTTCAGTAACCCTAAAGAACAGAATAGGAAAACTAAGATGGCTTCTGAACAGTAGAAATGCGCTATCTTTGAAAAATAAAGTCACCATTTATAAATCCTGCATAGCTCCCACCTGGCGTTATGGTATCCAGGTATATGGCATTGCTGCAAAGTCCAGTCTTTCAAAAATCAGGGTGCTCCAAGCAAAAACGCTCCGATATCTGTCTGGTGCCCCCTGGTATATGAGAACCTCCGACTTGGAAAAAGACTTAGGAGTGCCCAAAGTCGGGGACATTATAAATATACAGGCCGCAAATTATATAGCGCGACTGAGAAGTCATCCTAATCGACTGGCTAGGCGTCTTCTGAATAGGCGCAGAATTGGAGGACTCCGAACGCGGAGGAGACTACGAAGGTCTCACCCAATAGATCTCCCAGATCGATTTATATAGTTGACACTGTAAATTTGTATATAAGACTTACCAGTAGAATAAGTAGATTGTAAATATTCATACAAATTTAATTTAAGTTGTTCCAGATAATAACAGAAAAATTAAAATAAAGCTAAACTTAATAATAATAATAAAGCCCAACTGTTTTGAGCTCGGCAAAGCGCAGTTGAGAGCATTCGACTGAAAAGATTTTGTTTCCCCCGCTTTACTGCAGTCAACTGCAATAATGATATGTGCCTGTGTGTTTGCATACCCTGTGCCATTTGAAAGTGGGTCGATTGACTGTGTGCGTGTGCAAGGGTATGTGACGGGCCAAAGAAAGCAGCCGAGTCGAGCTGGTCTATCTATCTATTGGTCTGTCTGTCTTTCTTCGAGTATACCTCATATACAAGCAAGAGACGATATTAAAGGCTTAAGATCGGACTCCAAGCACCGAAGTTAAACAAGCATGGATTGCTCATAGAGTGGCGATAGATAGGCAAAAATATGTTTGACTGCATTTGTTTGGCCTAAGCAAAGCTCAAGTTATTGTCACGACAGCTCGCCGCTGTTTACAGGGTAACTGGCAGTCGTGCTATCTTCGTTAACCAAAAATATCAACCAATTTCCAGTTACGCTCCACAGTTTGTGGCACAGTTAACTTTGTCGATTCGAACGAGTATTCAATTTGCGGCGATGATGTCATGCCTGCCACAGAATGTTGCATCCGAATGCGGCCAACCCTGTTTACTTAGCATACATCATACATCCTTGTGATTGACCGAAATTCGTCATCAGATTTTAATGAAACAAGTTTTGCCAGCTTCAATTCCACAACATGTCCTGTCACATGGCTGCAGCAAAAAGTTGTGAAAGCAATTTGGCAGTGGAGTTTACCTGGTTACCTGAGTAGATATGGACAGATGCAAACTACGCAAGCGAAAGTTTATTTTGCAAATATATATTTGTGTATAGGCAGAACGGGTTTATAATTCGTCTCTCGTCTCTTGTATATACTCTCGTATATCCAGAACGAGTCGATAAATTCATGTATCGATATATATCGATAAAAACTTCACAATGATCGGATATCCCATAGAGTATACATATTCTAGACCAGCATCAATAGACAAGTTCATACCAAGATAACTATATCCCTTCAAGATGTTTACTTTTGTTGTTCAACACTGGAAGACTTCTTTTAGCTCTTCAGCTATATATTTATGATGGATCCCGACGAGGAGTTGAGCTTATATAGCCGTGTCTTTGGGTCGATCTGTTTCTAAGCAAATAAGTTTCGCATTAACTTAGAGTCAGCCGGATCGAGCTTCTATATGGTATACCTCTCATTGAAGTTCTCGATACCTTTTCGATACCACGATTTTCACCCAGTTGGACTAAATCAGAGTCCATCAGATAGTTCCCATTGAATATAGTTAATTATACAAAATATATTGCTAATTAATTGATTTGGGTATGATGAAAGAATACTTTGATTCCTTTTCTGAAAATTAAATTGCAAATTTTCTTTGATTAAGCACTGAATAAATATTGATATAAGGACAGTTATTATTGTTTGTTGTTATTGTTGTTGTTGTTGTCGCTGTTGATATTTCATTTGAGGCAGTTCAACGAACTGCAGACACGAATTGTCTGGCAATTTGTTGGCTACGGCTATTACGCGAATAATTTGTTGCTATTCCCAGCAATGTGGACTCCTTTTTTATTTCGTTATATTTTGTTTGTTTCTGCAAAGTTATTTGCCAGTGATTAATAGCATGTATGTAAGTTATTGTTGTTGTGGTAATACCCTGTAATTATAGTGGCAGGAATGGGTACTCCAGTTCAGTCTCTCTGAAATTGTAGCCTCTAAGTTGCCTTTGGATCTAAGTAGGAGGAATACATGGATATATTATACAGTGCTTTCTAATTGGAAAACAGTCCGTGCCTTCTTCGTCCCTTTATCGAACTGAGAGAAGCATTGGCAGCTGGAACATAGCTCCTTTTATTGCCCCTGCTTGTCATCATCAAATCAGCGACAGCTCAAGTATCTCTAAATATCGATATTCAAACTATTTCTTTATCAAATATCGTAGCATACTTATAAGCGCTTAAAAACAATGTGATATGTTGGCTTATACTAATACACATAAGCCCAAAAATGAGAGGAAATCATTGCAGGTGTAGCCTAGAACAAAGAGAACTGAAAATTTCATAAAGATCGGACTTTAAGCACCGAAGTTATTTAAGAATGCATTTCTCATAGTAAGAAGAAGCACAGCCGCCGCCTAAAGTGTGTGTGATGTAACCTCTCGCTGCTGACTACAGGGTATCTTCTTGTTTATTTAAGCTACAGGGTGTCCACAACTCGAGCTTGGTTTTTTATACCCTGAACCCATTAAAAATGGGTATAAGGGTATATTGTGTTTGTGCAAAATCCAAATGTATGTAACAGGCAGAAGGAAGCTTCTCCGACCCCATAAAGTATATATATTCTTGATCAGCATCAATAGCCGAGTCGATCTAGCCATGTCCGTCTGTCTGTCCGTCCGTCCGTCCGTCCGTATGTATGAACGCAAGGATCTCAGAACCTATAAGAGCTAGAGACTTGAATTAGATGTAGATGCTCCTAGTTCCCGCGCAGATCGAGTTTGTTTCCGATAATCGATAACTTACTCCGTTTCCAAGCAATCGATAAGAATCGATATCGATATCCTGTTTTTTGGGCAATTTTGGTAAATAATAAGAGCTAGAGTCATTAAACTTGACATATAGCTTCTAAAATAGAATATATAAATGCATTTGATGTTGGAAGAAGAGGGTTCAGGGTATCCCCTAGTCGGGAGCTCCCGACTAGAACCTCTTACTTGTTTGTATTTATTGTTGCCTGCGGCAATTATGAAAAGCCAAGAAAAGGAAGCGTGCCAATAGCCGTCTAATGTGTTTCCTTCACTCTCCCTCTCTCTCTCTCTCTCTCTCTCTCTCTCTCCTGTCTCTCTCTCTCTCTCTCTCTCTCTCTCTCTCGGAACGCCTGCAGAAGAAGGAAGACGGCAAATTGTGTCGATGTGCATGTGTGATTCCTAGTTGTGCATGCTGAACCGGGATGGATGCGCGCCGACAGAAGCGACTTGGCCCAGCGCCAATTGCATCGTTCGAAAAGTCATTTGAGGACAATACCACGATGGCAACAATAACAACAACAGCAACAACAACAGCAACAACAACAACAACTGCAACACAGCAACAGCGAATTGCGGTAAGTTTCACATACACGCACATATGTACTTTTATATACACACTCACACACACACACGCACACACACATGCATATAATTTGTGACAGGAGACAAAAATTAATTAACCCAAACATAAAATCACCTAAAGCAACGAACTCTGTGAGCTTGCAAAGAGCTTTGCTCTAGTGGTTGTCGAAAGGGGGAGGGTGGAGGGGGGGGGGGGGGGGACAGGAGCGCGTGCGGCGAGTTTTATAGGCGCAGCAAGCCGGGTGAATGCTCTCGGCTCTGGGTGAATGCCAAAAACATGCAAATGGCCACTTAAAAGGCAGGCGAACAAAACGCTTTTGGCCAATCAACAAAACGAAACTTAAGCGTTGCCCACAAATATCATAACAAAAAAACAACAACAACAACAACAGCAACAGCAACAGCAGTAGCAGCAAAAGCCAGCAAAAACGGCAACATCAACAGTAAAAAGAACTCTCAAAATGTTGTGTGGTGGCAGCGGGCGGGGCACAATTGAACAGGCACAATTGCGAAAATATTTTGACACGCGCCAAATCAAATGTGAAGTGCTCTAAATAATGTCATTTAACAATGGGCAAAGATTGAGAGCAGGAATTGGAAAGAGCTTGTAAAGCATGCATGCGCAACTGTCTGTGTGTGTGTGTGTGTGTTCATGTGTGTCGCTGGAGCAGGGCAGCGGGCAGCCAAAAAAAAAATCAGCATGCAAAATCATCAGGAGACTGTAGAACAGCGTAGATAAGAGAGTAAGAGAGCATGAAGGCAAGCCGAGCTTGCACAGTGCGCAGCACACATTTAGAAGCACACAAACGTATTAAATATATATACACGAGTATGTGTGCTTTAAATAATATTTGATATGGCCACATTCCATTTGATTATCAAAAAGAAAGCGCATAAGAAAGTGAAAAGTTTCTACTATAAGTCTATGCTATTCAACTGAAGCTAAAAAGCATATACGCCAAACTACACTACTTGTATGCGCAGCGCTGTAACCAAAGCTTAGCCAGCTGAGCGTGCGGCGGCACTTAGTAAAGCTTTTGCTTAAACGTCTGCTGCGAAGCTTTTAGCAGCAAGGGCAACGGCAACGGCAGCAGCAACAGCAACAGCAACTGGCAGCTTTTTGAAATTGCTTACCCTCTGCTGTGAGCGCTGCCAGGCAATAGCCACAAACAGCATAGCATACTTTTCGGCAGCGGCTCAGTATGACGCTGGCGCTGCGTGCGTGCAGTCTAACGGCATAAACGGAACGAACGGAACATATAGCGACAGAGTGAGAGACTGAGCAAGGAGCGCGAGTGTGGAGTGTGAAGCGCTGAGCGCGCGCGCTACGTACGAGCAGACCAAAACGAACCAAAAAGCAAGCAACGAGCAAAAGTGAACCAAAAAAATTTGACTTTCCGTTTCCCTTGCGCCTCGCTGCGTCGCTAACAATTCTCATATTTTTTTTGTCGGTTGCTTTTTTTTTCGGTGGAAAGTTAAGGCAAGAGAAATTAATGAAAAATTAATAAGGACAAGTGGGGGAGCCAGGTAGCAACAATAAGAAAATACAGAAATACAAAAAAGCAACACACTAAGGCACAGGGCCAAAGAGCAATAACGGGAAGTTTTGGCACACGGTGAGTAGCAAGACGCGCACATAACGGCAAGATGCCATGTGTATGCACGACTGTATGCATGTGTATGTGTGTGTGCGCGAACAAACATTAACAATAAACACAGAAACAGGAGCACGCAGATAGGCAGCGGCAGCGGCAGCGGCAGCGCCTCTTCGCATGCTGCGGTGTATACAATACATATACACAAACGTAGATGTGTGCTTGTGTGATATGTGTGCTGCTGCTTTTATGCAAAATTATAATTGTAATTAATATGTTGAGGCATTTGCGAACGCGCAGCTTCCAGCAGTAAACAGCAGTATGTAATACCAAAAAATATTACGGCCGCCCTTTTTGACTGGGGAAACGGGGCATTTGCGTTTTATTCCTCTTGGTTTATTCTTTTATTTTTTCTTATCTGCTTTCTAAAATTGTTGGTATCCTTTTCGGTACACCACAAAATATTACCAAAATAAAGGCGAACCATAACAATTGAAAGAATCCCGTTACCAAGCCGGTTCTCTTGTTTATTCGAATTAATTACAATTTTTATGTATGCGCCACGGCATGCGGCGGCTTTCAATGAGCGCACAAGGCGTGTGGGGAGAGAGACTGAGACTGAGAGCGAGCGGGTGAGTGACTCGCACTGAATGAGTGAGACTGGGTGAGTGAGAGCGCAATAGTGAGCGCTAGCCAGCACGTGAAACGCATTGCACAGTTTCTTTTATTTTTATATATTCTTTCCAGCATCGGGTTTTAAATTAAATTTGTTGATGTGTGCGTGTGCACGTGTCTGCGGGTTTGTTTGTGTGTGTGTGTGTGTTTGGCATGTCCAAGGTTTATGCTGCGCCCCCGCAGCACACGCACCCACACACAGACAATAAACGCATGCTTTTCGCCTTAGCACCCGCCCCCTCACCCTCCCTCCACCCTGCTAGGCTGCCAGCGTCAGTCGCAAGCTTTCAAGCGCAATGTGTCAATCAGCGCATTCGAGTGACAAACGCGAACGCTGCGTGTGTCCATGTGAGCCTGTGTGCGTGGGTGTAAGGACTTCTCCTTGAACGCATCTAATGCGGCTGCATATGCATTTATGAGAGGGTACTGAGGAATGCTGGGCGAGGGGCAGGGGGTGTGCACTCAACATGCCTGTTTGCTGCTCCACGAAACTATTGCATGAATATGGCTCTGAGGCGGGCGTCAAGGAGGCGGTTTTCCAGCTGCTCTTGTTCTAAGTTAAAATTGGATAATTGCATTGACATTGCGTTTAGGGCTGGGGCACAATGGGTGCGTCTGTCTGTGTGTGTGTGTGTGTTGGGCTGAGGTTAACTGAAGATGAGGTTAACTTGGAGCCAGCGCCAAGGTTGTGCTGTGGCAATTGAAATGCTTGAATGCGCATATTTCATGTAATTAGAATATTCATATGCAGAGCTCGCGTCCTCCATGCTACTCGATTTGTGCGTTAATTAAAGAACAGTGTTCAAAAGCGCACCAGAATTGAGATTAACTTCAAGTATAATTGCACTCCTTAGTGTTGGGCACTTCAGCAGAAGTTAATTATGTCCTTCTGACGAACGACTTACGACTGCACAAAATAATCCGCAAACTAAAAATGTATTTTCCTTGTTTTCTCTCTTCGTCTCTCTCTCTCTCTCTCTTCGTCTCTCTCTCTTTCTCTCTCTCTCTCTCTCTCTCTCTCTCTCTCTGTCTCTCTCTCTCTCATTCTTCCATGACTTTAAACATTCTCCGCAAAGATTGTTGTTTTATATTATGAAAACATGCGAGTTTTAATAAGGAATTGGAAGCCAAGCCTTCCTTTATTAATTTAATTTAGGTAGTTCGATTTAGTAGCCATGTTTAACGTGCTGACTAATTAGATTAAGTTAAGCATAATTGATGAACAGCAGATTTTTTCTTTCTGTTAATTATGAAGTTGAATCAAAAAGTTATCAAAAAGATTTAAGTAACTCTTTCACGTATTTCTCTTTGTTCGCTGAAGAGCTTATATAAATAAAAGGATATTGAATATGACAAAATTAGGATTCGATCCCCAAAATGTAGAAAAAGTTGCATAATCAATTTAAGAGACCTGTATCAAATGACGTCCGAAAGAAGCTGGAAAGAAAACTCACATAGTTAATATACTCTGTTGCCTTGAAGAACATGAGTATATTGGCTTCCTACCGTAATTTGGATTAAATCGGATTATAACTGAATTCCAAAACAAAGCCAGAAGCCTTTCCAGGCAGCTAGGCTATATTCAAAAAAACCTGATAGAGGGCATAAAAACGCTGCTTAATTAAAAACAGAGTATTTTCTGAGTGCAAACTTTTTACTTGTTTTCTTGGTCAAATTCCGCTCGGAAGCCCCGCAGCATTCTAAGAAAATTCAATTATAGAACGTGCTGACATTTTTTGGGCGTCAGGTGAATTCATTGGATAAAGGTCCTGTTAGTTCGCAAATAGTGTGGGAAAGCGTACGAAAAGATAAAATGGACAACGAGTATCAAAGGATGATATTAATTAAAAATCACATGCTATGAAAACCATAAAGGAATTAAAGCTAATTGTGATTGGATTTTGTGAATGTCGGTCAGCGGGAGGGTGCGACAAGGGGCAGTGGGGGGGGGGGGGGGGGGGGAGAGAAGCATGTGACTGCTTTCATTTGCAGCAGAGGTACGAGGCAGGCAGCCAGTGTTGCCAAGCGACGCACAGCTGCATGCTTTTGGTTTCAATTTGCGAACCGTATATCAGATTCATGTGTGTGCGTAATTGAAATGCATTTCTTTGAGCTAAGCTTTCTATCCATTGCAGATGATGGAACAAACGTTGCGCAAACAACAAACAACGACAACTCGCAATCCCAATCCCAATCCGAATCCGAATCCCAATGCCAGTCCCAACGCCAACGCCAACGCGAGCGAAGCGCCAAGCATAACGGGTGCACTGGCCAGCAGCAGCTCCTCGTCCTCATCCTCCACGTCCACCGTGTCGTCGGCCACCTGCTCCGCCAATGCCAGCATCGTTGCCAAGCAACGCCCGCCGCCGCTCAAAACGGCAACGGCCACCGTCACCACGACCCTGGTCAGCAGCAACGAGGGCGGACAGCCGCTGCCAATCGTGGCTATCGGAGCCGGTGCAGCTGGCGGTGCTGCGGTTAGCGCTGCTGGCGGTGCTGCACGCTATCGCGGCACTGCGACATTGACCACGCCCTCAACGCCACGCATCGAGCTGAGCCGCGCCTCCAGCTCGTCCCACCACGAGGAGGACAGTCGCGAGAGCAGTCCGGAGAACGTGTTCGAGCAGGTAAGCGATTTGGCCAATTGTCACAGTTGCCCCGGCGGCGGCAACTAGTCCGCTTAGTGGCTAGTAGCTTGGCTTCTAGAGCAGCGTCCACACCCAGCAGCAACAACAACAACAACAACAACAACACACAATTGACTTTGGCTAGCCGAAGCCGGAATACCCTTGCAGATAAACGGGCGTCTCTCTCTCTCTCTCTCTATAAGCTATAATTGTCCGATTTGACAGGCAAGAAGAAGCAGCCGCATCTGCATTTCGTGCACCTGACCAAGCTTCGAGTCCAAGCGATCTTATGACCATATATCCGTAATACCCTCTGCAAGGGTATCAAACGCAGAGCTCAAACATGTCAGCTTTGCAGTCGCAGTCGCAGTCGACGTCGCTTTTAAAGACTTATTTTGTGCTAATTATTTGTACTTTGTTCTTGTTGTTTTCATTTCGATTTTACTCTCTTATTGTCTCTCTCTCTCTCTCTCTCTCTCTCTTCCTCTCTTTCTCTCTCTGTCGCTCCTTTTCGCTCTGTTTCTGCCCACACTAAACTGTGCACACACACTTACACACACACGCACACACCCAACAACCAATGCACAACAATTGGCTGTCGATTTGTTAATTTGCCTTTGCATTTTTTTTTTGTATTTATCTTCGCCCACTCAACCCCCACGCCGCCCCCACCACCCTCCTACCATTGCTTCTTGCCACCGCATGCTTTCTTCCATAAACTTAACTTGCAAAAATATGAAATTGTGTATGTGTGTGTGTGTGTGTGTGTGTGTGTGTGTGTGTGTGCTGGGTGGTAACTGTGTTTAACTAATGCTATGAAGGTCGGCACTGGCACCCTACAGGAAACCATTGGCCTCGGTTTTCGGGAGGAGGGGGCCTTAGAGTTGCGCAGCTCCACCGAAGAGCTCTTCTTTATGGATCCAGAGCAGAAGAAAGAGGAGCAGGAACGCCTGCAGCAGCAGCAACAACAACAGCAACAACAACAACAACAACAGCAGCTGCAGCAACAGCAGGTAAGTGTCTCCAAGTTAGCGTCCAGATTTGGCATCGAGAGGAAAGCTAATTACGGGCATGTAAGATCGTAATTTATATTGCTTTGGCATGTCGTTCCTAGTTGATCGTATCAAGCTGTCAGCTTTATTGCAACTGATCTAAAATATAATCGCAGGAGTTCGGCTTTGTTCTTCTCGCTAACGAATTTTGCATTTTCCTACTCGCATCTTTTTCATCGAGTGATTGTTTCCAGTTTTGATGGATATCCTTCTAAAAATGTCCCGATTTACTGTATATAGTATCCTGACTAGACGAAGGGAGGGGTTTGGCTTTAAAATGAAAGATACTTGATCTGTATATCATTTTCTGTCAAACAAGATTTTGATATCGATTCTTATCGATTGCCAGGACGAGGCGAGCTATCGATTATCGATAACAAGCTCGTAGGTGGAACTACGCTCAAGTTTCAAGTCTTTAGCTCTTAAAGGTTCTCAGATTGATGGGATACTTTTTTTTACTTTACTTTTTACCCATTTTCAATGGGGTATAAAAATAGAGGAACCAGCTACCTTGAGGTTTTGTGCGTCCCCGAGGTTAACACCTTGGTTTGTTTTATATTAGACAAATCGAAAAATCATTTTTAAATTGTAATTTATAATTTATTTTCATATAGAAATTGCGGGCTACATTTCAACTTTAGCCAAAATTGGCATCTACCGAATGTGTTTAGATAAAGCCAAGCTATTTAAGCTGAGTCTTCCACAAAAGTTGTTAACCTTAAGCCCAAAATATAAGGTTCGTTTCTGATTTCGGTTCCGGTTCGAGCCTACTCAACTGCAGTTGTCATGAAAGCTATATTTAATGGATGAACAGGGTATCTCGCATTCGAGCACAATTGACTGACTCCTGTTTAAATATTATCTAGTGCTCGCGCTAGCGACTTTCTTTTCCAACAACAAGTTGCAGCAGGACAGTTTCAGGGTTGCCAGATTTTAAAAGAGAAAAAGGAGCGAGAGCGAGAAAAATGACAGTAAAGAAATTGAAATACTTAGCATGGCATTGATGTGCCCTAAGAATGCCAGCAACAGCAGCGCCGGAAACGAACTTAAATTAATAATTTAAAATTACAAGCCAAGGCAAGTGTAACAGCTAACGGAAGTCACAAGTGGATGGCCATGAGCGGACAATTGACTGACAGCTGACAGTAGCTGGCAAGCACCTGACCGAACTGATTGTAACGACTGCAATCTCAACAGGCAGCAGCGAGCGAAGGGCGAACTTTCAAAATTTTAGTTGCCAAGTGCAGCCACGACAACAACAGCGGCAAGCACGACGCGCAAATGCCCTGTAACCAGATCTTAAATATATTAAATTACATTCTTTAATGAGTCAATTTGAGTATACCTATCGTACATCCAAAATGTTAGGAGTATCTTTGAGTATCCGTCTGTTGAACAAATGTCTCGTACTCAATGATACATTTATGAGTATCCTTGAGTATACCTATCACACAAATGAGTACTCAGTAGCAGTTACATCAGAATGTTGGGAGTATCTTTGAGCTTGCGTCTGTTGAACAAATATCTAGTACTCAGTGTTACATTTATGAGTATTTTGGCTATAGCTATCAAACAAATAAGTACTCAGTACAAATGTCTAGTACTCGATGATACATTTATGAGTATCCTTGAGTATACCAAGCAAACAAATTAGTGCTCAATAGTATTTTATATATAGAAGGTTCTTTGAGCATTTATATAGTGGCAAAATGAGAATTTCTGAGATGAATGTCTACAATGTTGAGTTGTAAGACTCAAAATGATTTAAGTATATTTAAGTATGGATATATTTTTCACATGAGTAATAAGCTGGCAGTACCCAAGCTAATATAAGTATCTTAGAGTAAGTGAATGATGTGATTTAGGAGTTCCAAATCAATGTGAGTAGCTGTGAGTAAGTGAATGAGTAGTATTTTGTACGATATATAAAAAGTGTATGTTAAAAAAAGAAACGACTCAAAATAGGAAATAGAAAAAATGTGTAGTAATTAGCGAAATGTGCAAATGTTGCCTAGCGATAACTTTTAAAACAACTCCAATTAACAGTCGTAGCTGCTGCATTTAATATACAAAAAAAAAATTGTACACAGCCTTCAGTAGAGGAAGTGAGATAGATCTCTAAATGCAGACAAAACGTTATTGTACCGAGCGGAAAACGGAGAGCGGCCAATTGAAAGCAAGTCCATTAATTGAAATTGCAGCAAAGGGGCAGCCCTGGCAACAGCAGACCATCCGCTGCTGCTGCTGCCGTGCTTCTTGTTGGGGCAAAAGTTCGTGTGAAAATAATCAAAACAAAATGTTGCGCCAACTGCCACAGACGTTCCGAGAAAAACTTATTAATAAAGCTGCCACCAGAAGTTATCTATGCCCATCCACATCTACCCATCTGTCGACCTCTTACACCAGAAACTTCGCTATGCATCGCCAAGTTTTCAATTTGTCAGGATCCACTATTCAAGAGTACTTTAGAAGTTTAATATAGCGAATCAACTAAACTTCGCTTAATAAAAAAACTTGGCACGAAATAGGGACAATTGAAAAGCTAGTTGAGATGATTATATTAATGATTTTTCCAGTTAGGAAAGGAAAGAAAGTCAATAAGTTGCCGTGCATTAAAAAGTTTCGCAAAGTATAAATTCCTTTAAGTTAAATAACATTAAATGATTGGTTATAAGGAAGATTCAATCTGTACCCAAAATACAATATGAAAGAGATAAGGGAACTCCAATCTACTTAAGGCGACGTTCTTCTTAATGACAATGACAATGACAATGACAATGACAATGACAATGACAATGACAATGACAATGACAATGACAATGACAATGACAATGACAATGACAATGACAATGACAATGACAATGACAATGACAATGACAATGACAATGACAATGACAATGACAATCACAATGACAATGACAATGACAATGACAATGACAATGACAATGACAATGACAATGACAATGACAATGACAATGACAATGACAATGACAATGACAGTAATAGTAATAATATTGATGATATTGATAATACCAATAGAAATAGTTAACAGCATCTAATCCTGCGGCACAAAGACCACAAAGCAGAAAACTTTTGACCTGTCCGCTCTTTGCCAGGTTAATTAAATTCTTGTCGGCAACAGATACGCTAACTACGGGCTCGTAGCGACTTGATGGATTAGCAAGTGGCTGGAAATTAATTTTTGTAAAGCACGCCAACCACAGCAAAGCGCAAAACGGACAGCCTTGACCAGCTCGACGTTGTGCACAACTTTTGCAAAATAGTCTATGGCTGGGAGGCCACGCGAAACTCGAATTTATTAGCCATGCCAAAGCCAATATGGCTTGTTTAAAGCTAGCATTCGCGCATTGCCATGCATAATCAATGCATTGATTGCAATAACCAGTGACGTCTGATGCGCTAAAAACTTTATAAATTCGTTCGTCAGTGGCTCGTTAGTTTCAATGTCAATCAGTTGCGTACCCTGATGGGTGGCTAAAAACATTGTGGTCTGCATAGCCCCGCCCACGCATAAACCAATTTCGCAACTGTTTCTGCTCTAATTAAATATTAACATTCGAAGCGTATAACTGCAGCTGACATTTCACCCAACTGTGAACCGCCAATTTTTGCCGCAGTTACTAATTCATTTATATAACATTGGGTCACATTCTTTTTGTTTCTGTATCTGTTTTTATACCCTGAACCCATTAAAAATGGGTATAAGGGTATATTGTATTTGTGCAAAATCAAAATGTATGTAACAGGCAGAAGGAAGCATCTCCGACCCCATAAAGTATATAGATTCTTGATCAGCATCAATATACATGTCCGTCTGACTGTCCGTCCGTCCGTCCGTCCGTCCGTATATATGATCGCAAGGATCTCAGAACCTATAAGAGCTAGAGACATTTTAGATGAAATTTTAGATGTAGGTGCTCCTAGTTCCCGCGCAGATCGAGTTTGTTCCCGATAATCGATAACTTACTCCGTTTCCAAGCAATCGATAAAAATCGATATCCTGTTTTTTGGGCAATTTTGGTAAATAATAAGAGCTAGAGTCACCAAACTTGACATATAGCTACTAAAATAGAATATATATATGCATTTGATGTTGGAAGAAGAGGGTTGAGGGTATCCCCTAGTCGGGAGCTCCCGACTAGAACCTCTTTTTTGTTTTTTTTTGCACAGCTCTTTCGAGTGCTTTGCATGTTATTGAATTCCCATCGAGTCCACTATCCTAGCAATAATATCAGCCTGCTTGCATGTTTTTTTTATGGCCCTATCCTCTATTCAGGTGTCTCTCTCTCTCTCTCTCTCCTTTCTCTCTCTCTCTCTCTCTCTCTCTCTCTCTCTCTCTCTCTCTCTCTCTCGCACACTTTCACTTTGACTGTCTAAGTGCAATTGACATGCGATTGAATGAAAATCTGAGATTGTGTTTTGGGTACTGCGCTTTGTTTTTTGTCAATCTTTAAAATGGCAATTGGTTTGCTTGTTATACCCTGTAATCGATGCAGTCATGTCCGTCCGACTATAGAAACACGAAAGTAAAAGCTAGGCAACGCTTATTTTGGCAATTATGAAGGACTTATCGGCAAGTATGAAGTTATCGATTTCATAGAGTTCAGTTTTTAGTGTTAACAATATTTGTTAGAAACTCAACTTATATTCCCTAAGTTTACAAATTTCTTTAAAATTGATAAATATCGATTTCAAAAAGCAAGTGAAAAGTTGGAGGCAACAAATACAGAAGCCATTCACAGATTAAATGCATATCAAATTATCATTCATCAGCCACAATATCGATATCGATACATATCGATGATTTAAATATCGCGAAGATTTTGAAAGCCAGCAACAGCAGATTGGACATTCTGTTGCACAGAAAGCATCGTCGTATAAAGCATATATATATATATGGGTATATACACTTATGGGAAAGAGAAAGTTGATCCGAAAAGTACCCAAAGTTTAGACAGAATGTTGGGAAAGTCATTTAAGAGTAAAAATGTTGGAAATGTTGAGAGAGAAAGCTGCTCAAAGGTTGCAGCTGGCTAATGCGTATATATAAAATATATATAGGGTATCTTTTAGTCGGGCAGTTTCGACTAGAGCGCAACTCTTCACACCTTTCAGCTGGCCCATGTGTGTCTTGTATAGGGTATCTTTTAGTCGGGCAGTTTCGACTAGAGCGCATCTCTTGAGACCTTTGTGTGCGTTGTCCTCCTGAACGTCGCCTCAAGCGACAATAATCCCGGTCGAGCTGTCGTCTGGCTTGTTAAACATTGAATGATGACTCTTCCTTCTTTCTTTTTCTATTTCGCCTTTTCGCCTTTGGGGTTCTGCTTTTTGGACGACAGGCGAAGCGTACGTCGCCGCACATCTTCAAGTTCGACGAGCACCAGAGCTATCTGCAGCAGCATCAGCGCAAGGACTCGGCCAGCTCCGAGGTGGCCGCCCTGCTGTGCATCTCTGGCCGCACCAGTCGCATCTCGAGCGTGGGCAGCCAGGGCTCGGCCGTCAGCCGCCTGTCGGCGGTCTCTTGCGTATCGCGCTCACCGTCGCCGCATCGCATGCTGCTGGAGACATCATTTTGCGGACCAAAGCCCGTCGAGGGCACGGCAGACGGCGCCGTTAGCACCGGTGGCAGCAATGCCTCGACAGCGCCCAGCTCCGCCCAGAGCCTGGGCGAGGCGACGCTGGCCGTGGAACAGCTGCTGCTGGCACGCACCAGGCATGATCCCACCCAGGCGGTGCTGGCCGAGGGCATACAGCTGCAGCCGCCCAGCACAGCAGCACGCCGCAACAAGCCCACCAGTCTGGCCAATGGCAATGACAGCATGCCCAGCACCAGCACAGCCAGGCCCAGCGCCGGCGTCGGAGTCGGCGGAGTCATGGGCGCCCAGCGGCGCAGCACCAAGAGTCCCGGCCAGATGGTCGTGGGCAAGACGGCAAGCGGCACCGAATACATACGCATCAATCTGCGTCCGGATCACATGTACAGCGACAAGGGCATTGCGGCCAACGAGCGCGTCGTGGAGGCGCCCAATCAGCTGGCGCCCGTCTACTCAAAGAGCTCGCAGTCGCAGTCGAAGCCCGCCTCGCTCAGCCTGCAGGGCAGCGGGCTGGACGAGAATCGTCTAACGCCAACGGCCAGTCCGAAGCCATCGCGGCATGTGATGCGCCTGACCAGTCGCTCACCCTCGCCGGCGGCGCCCGGCTTGGCCTCAGTCTCCCGGAAGAGTTCGTTTAGCTCGCTGTTCCGGCTCGGCAAGGACTCGCCGGACTCGCCGCGCGAGGCCAGCCGTTCGCGCAGCAAGAGCAAAGAACGTCCATCGACGGCGATGGCCCTGACCCATGGCCCCAGCGCCGGACCCGGCACCGGCTCGCAGAATGTGACGCCCAGCAAACAGAAATCGGTGCTGGCCATTTTTAAGCCGGGCAAACGGGGCAGCAGCGCCGGCACCGATGCCACCAAAAGCTCCAAGAGCTCCTCGCCCATCGATTGTGCTGAACCGCCGCCACCGCCGCCGCCAGCGCCCGGCTCCGGCGGACGCAATCGCACGCCAGCCGGATCAAGGCCCAACAGCCGGCTAAGGTACTATGATGAGCCCGTCGAGGGCTATATACACATACCGCTGCATACGCCGCCCGAGGAGCGGGAGGCGCGCACTCTGCTTCAGGAGATACAGCAGCTGGTGGCGCCATCGCCGCCGCCTATGGAACGGCCGAGAATCCTTGGTGCCGTCACATCAGCCACCATGCCGGCTCCAGCTGGTGCCGGTGCGCCCATCACGGCCAGCCAGCTGGCCGCGGCGGCTGCTGCACTGCGTCCGGTTGGCCAGCGCAAGCCGGAGGCCGCACGGCCACGCGCCGATCTGGATGCGATACAAACGCTGCCATCGCAGGAGGAACTGGAAGCCAGAGAGACGCTGCACTCGGTCAGCGCCGTGTTGAGCGCACGAGCGGCCAATCTGGGCCAGGTCGCGGAGCACAGATCCGGGAACGGGGTGCGCGAGAATGGGCTGGCTGAAATGCAGCGGCTGCCCTCGGTGGACAGCACGCAGAGCGCCTGCGAGCCGCGCCTGGTGCAGACGGTGGCCACCGTCAATGTGCCCACGGAGGATTCCGCCGCCGCCAAGGAGCGGCGGCGTCTGCTGTTCGCGACGAGACTCGGCTCCGGCAGCCAGGAGCAGCTCTTCTCCACACAGTTCAGCATCTCGAAGACGGAGAGCCAGTCCAGCCAGCTGTCCGAGCAGGTGCAGCCGCCAGACTCCGGCTCGACGGCCTCCGATTGCACCACGGACGGACTGCAGCGCCAGGGCACCGTCATCCGGCGCACGGATGCCACAGCTCAGCCCACGGCGCCCTCCAGCTCCGAGGAGGAGCAGCCGCCCGCTGCCATTGTTGTCAGCGCCGCTGTCGTCATGCGTTCCAAGCACAAATCCTGCTCCAACTCCGAGGAGGAAGCAGCTCCAACAACAACTCCGACTCCGACTCCGACTGCACCAGCAGCTGCCCCGGCCGCCGATGTGCGACATTCGCGCTACCTCGAGAGCTTCGATGTGCGCAAAAAGTATCACGAGAACGTGACTGAGAACGTGACTGGGAACGTGACCGGAAGTGTGACGGGAACTGTGCCACGCAAGCCCAAGCGACAGACCGTGTCGGAAGCGAAGAGTAAGTACATTAATCAATCTCTCACCTATGCATGCAAAACAATTCCGCCCGTCTGGGTGAAAACAGGGCGGAATTATATCAAACACGAAGTTCACTTTGGCCACATTTTCTATGCAAGACTCGAAAGTTGAGCTGGTAGCGAGCATATTCCAAGCTTTATTGCTGAAAGCCAATACGCTCGTTTTCAGCTTCTGAACAGAGTATAATTATGCGCTGCGTCATTTACATATTCACAAATAAGGGGGCATTGATTGAAATTCACTTTCCTCCTAAGAATTTTCCACAAATTCATGAATATTCATTTTCAATCAATTCGCTTCAATAATTATAATTTGTTGGTAAAACGAATGCATTAAATGATTTTTACAAATCGGCAAGCAGCTACTCAAACTTAGTACAGTTAACCCACGTTTCACAAATATGCGTGAAACATGCGTGAATTAAAAGATTTGTAGTGAAAAATGCGTGAATTAAAAGTCGATTGGATTATGACCGATTTTTGGGCTCAATTAAGTCGACTGATAGATTCTAGATCCCTGAAACGAGTTCGATTGATTGATTGAAGATTGCAATTTTCGCCCGTGAAAGTGAATTTGCCGAAAATTAAGCCAACTACTAAGTCGCGCACAAATTTATGTTAAGAAATTTATTTATATTAATTTATTTATATTCTATAATATATTAAGGAAATTTTCGGGTCGATTCCAACAGCTACGTCAGTTTCCTGCAACGGGTTTCCACGCATTTTTCACGCCTATGCGTGGAATTTCTTAAAAGCCAGCTGTGCGTCGATTCCAAATGAAGAATATTTATTGATCAAGCTGTGGAACTGTTTGAAATTTGGAATACACTTGGAAAGTGAATGAAGCAAGCTTTGAATTTGAAGAACTTTCGTTGAAGTCGAATAATAATCATTTTTTTTGAGGCATTCTCGCAGTGAACGAGCGCTGTGCATTGTATTTTCCTTTGGAACTCAGAGATCAAATTTATTTTATAATTTTTTTCCGTCAGTCGAAACAGCGTAGAATTATACGATTGAACAGATTGTAGCTAGCCATGTCTTATATCCGGGTGCTATCTAATTCCGAGTCTCCGTATTCCAATTTTCTAGCAAGCGCCGCCGCATTGCCAGAGCCAGAGACGGAACCAGAGCCGGAGCTGAAGCCGGAGCTGGCTATGAAGCCCGAGCCGCGGGAGCTGTACGAGCTGGAGGCTTTGTCGCCGCCGCCGCCCGGCGAACGCTCGGAGCGGCACTCGACGGACGAGCACGAGCCGATCGAGTCGTCGGAGAGCGAACGAGACTCGGATATGGCGGGCAGCTCGTCGATGGCGACGGCGGTGCCGATGGGCGCGGATGCCAAGCGTCATCATTTTCCGCGCAACGTGTGCGTGATCGAGGAGCACGAGAGCACCGGCCTGGTCTCGCAGGAGTCCTTCGACGACGAGCTGCCGTACGTGCCGACCACGCTGCCCGAGGAACGGGCCCAGGGCGTGCCGCTAATCCCGATGAAGGAGCGCGCCAACATGGAGCTCAAGACCTGTCCCGTTGATCGGCCGCGCTCAACCACGCCGCTGAATCCCTCCCATTTGGAGGAGTACTGCACGGGCATTATGACGCCACAGGAGCCGCCGCACGCTAGCCACGAACTGGATCCGGGCTTTGCCGGGCCCGTGCGCGGCGAGAAGCTGCGCATTAGCCTGCCGCGCAAGGACACGGCCGTCAAAGACAAGGGGCAGAGCACAAAGTCACCGCGCCGCATCTCCAATGCCAGCGGCAAGTCCTGGTTCGAGTTCGCCGAAGAGGGTCTGCGCGCCAACCACAATCTGGAGCGCAAGGATTCCAACAAACAGCTGCTCCCGGCCACACCACCTGCCCAGGGCCAGGGCCAGTGCCAAAGCCAAGCGCCTAGCATGCCCGCCAGCCTGGAGGAGCCCAAGCCGAAGGCATCGACACAGCGCAAGCTGTCCGGCCATTGGATTGACTTTGAGAACATACCCGAGAAACGTAAGACGGCCAAGCGCATCACCACGCTGCCCAAGGAGACAATAACCACCACAACCACAACGGCCATAACGAGCGCATCCTCGGCCTCCGGCTGTGCCAGCGCACATCGCAGCTCGTCCGGCCATCCGCATGCCCATCACGGCCACGGCCACGGCCATCACCATCATCATCACCAGCAGCAGCAGCAACCGTCGCGCCAGGATGCGGCATCTGGGGACAAGCTGCACTACAACTATGTCAAGCCCGAGGACTGCCAGTGCGAGTGCCACGAGGCGGAGCGTGGCGAATCCTCAGCAGCCACAGCCACAGCCACAACCACCAGCAACACAGCCGACAAGGAGAAGGATGTCAGCACTGGCACCGGGACTGGCACGGGCACGGGCAGCGATTCGCTGGCTTCCGTTGAACTGCTGCAGCAGGGCGAGGATATGTTGCCGCTGATCGAGCCCGAAGTGTCCGCGGAGACCAGGTAATAGCCGCACTTACAGGTGGTAAGCATTCCATTTAACATTTGCCCCAATCTCTTCCAAAGAATCTACTCAAATGAGCCGCTGCCACCGCCAGCCCGTCACAGCAGCAAGAGCACAGGTCAAAGGGTAAGTCGATGACTCGATGGGCTCAATTAGGGCGCTCGTGAGATTTGAAAACATTTGTGTACGAACTGCAAGACGCTCTACATGACATGTCAGCAACGTTGTCTGTTACCGCTCTCTCTCTATTTGCCACACGATAACATTTTTTTGATGTGTGATACGCGGAGCGTAATATTGGGCTAAGAGAGCATAGACAATTTTTAAACAGGACTGATATTTTACTCTCTCTCAAGCTGACAGATACGAAAATTACACGACTCGCATCCATGCTGTTTGCTATGGCACCCAAACATGCGCACGCAAAAGCCATAAGCACGCTGCTCTCTCCCTTTCGCTCCGTCTCCTTCGATCGTGTGCACTCATGACCTGCCTCATTGCTATGACACGCTTTATTGGCATGACCAAAGACAATATAAACACTAAGATGAGTAACGCGCATACATTTGAATGCGACGCAAAATTTCTAGCCTGGCCTTTCATCTGGCCTTTGAGGCTTCGTACGGCATGCCTGCCGACTGGTTGTTCGTTCTCCAAAGACCAGACGAACGAATGCCGAAGTCGCGGCTTGCTGATGCTGACACGAGCTACGAAGTTAGTCGCCAGCCTGCCTTCAGCAAAGCTGGTCGATGCTGCTTTGCGTCGCTTCGTTTTCGAAGTACATTGAGCGAAAAAGTTTAGAGCTTACGATCGACGCAAAGTGCTTGTGCTTTATCCATGAAATGCATGCTTTATTTAAATGATATATTACCCTAGATATTAACAAATAATTTTACAGGAAAATTGAAGAACTTTTATAATTTTTACACAAGGCGCTTCTTGCGCAATAACTATGTTAAGAAAATAGTACACATAGATTGATTTCAGTCTTCTTTTTGGGCAGTGTATGCTCGAGAAGAGTTCTTGTCTCAGCCAATAGCGTGCGTGCACCTTTCGTTGTATGCGTGAATTATACATGCATAAGAACTATAAAGTATGTATGTATGTGTTGTTATGCACTGCTCTGGCTTTAGCTGGCAAGAAATTAATTTTGTTAGTTTTCTAGCGCAGATCATGACCTATCCCAAATTTGTGTTGATATATGAATGCATTTTGTGTACTGAGGTTGGCTCCGCAGAAAATATGTATTTCTAGGTCGATGCAAATATTTACATAATTTCTTTAAATTAAATTAATATTATTTTTATTCTCCAATTAAGAAATAAAAGAGGGCTAAAAAATACAATTACATTTCAAGTCGACTCGAAGGTCATATTTAGTTATGACCCCATTATAATTATAATGGCCTCCTCGCGGTGTTCCCTGGGTACCGATTTTGCATCGGTAGCTAATTCGAGCGGCGACTTTGTTCTTTATAATTCGAACAAATAATAATAAAATAAAAGAAATAAAAATTACTTAAATGTATCTTTGAAAACAACAAATTTGCACTTTTATTTGCTTAATTTTTTTTGTATTACTTAAAAATAATAATAATTTAATTAATAATTTCAAATATAAAAAATTACATAAATATTTGCATCGACTTAAAAATACTTACATATTTTGTACGGAGCCAACCTCAGTACACAAAAGGCATTCATATGTATATCAACAGATATTTTGGGTAGGCCGTGATCTGTGCTTAAAAACTACGAAAATTGTTTCTTTGCCAGCCAGAGACTGCCAGAGCAGTGGAAAGCAACACATTCAAATATGCTTCTATGTATGTATATTCACACGCATACAAACATAATTGCTTGCACGGCCCTCATAGAGCCGAAGCTGAGAGCACATTCTATTTTTAGCTTTTTCGTTCTCTCGGCTGTGAGAGCGCAATGCTACAGATTTCGTTTTCGTTCTCAATTTTCAAAAAATCAAGCTGCATAGTAGCATTTTGTTGTATGGCGTTACTCATCTTAGTGTTTATATTGTCTTTGGCATGACACTCCGCACACAATGATTGCAGAGCTGGAGACACTCAACTCTCCACTCTCCACTCTCCACTCTCCACTCTCTCTCTCTCTGCTAAATCACTTCTCAATGATTGTGCTTACAGCTAAACTCTCTTTGCTATATAACCAAACATCCACGTACTCTCCGCACACGCAATGCAAAACTCATTGATATGACACTCGCGTTGTTCTTTCCTCTCTTTCACTCTCCTTATCTGCCTTTCTCTCTCTCTCTCTCTCTCTCTCTCTATAACATGTCCACTCAGATGGAGGAGTTTCCACGTCGCGACGCTGCATCCAGTTCCAGAAATCGCAAGTTTCCCGATAGAAAGTAAATTGTTTTTTCTCGCTCTAGTTCATTCAATTTATTTATTTATTTTCATACTTACCTAACTATTGCATCTTCAGGGTAGCTAAAAAATTCGTTCAATAAGCTAAAGGCCAACAAAAAACAAAAAACCAAAAATAAAGAAAAAGTCCTTGGCTCGGATATCCTTAATGTATGTACCTCAAGCAGTGCGGTTGTTACAAGCAAAACAAAATGAAAAAAAAAAAAGAAAAAGTCGAGAGAAAAAAGAAAAGACAAGAAAACCCCGGGCATCATCGATCTACTGATGAAACGAGTATTTCCTTTCGATTCGATTAGCTAAATATATATATAATATACACTTACCTACAATTACTTGAATGCATATACAAAAAACAAAAAGGCAAAAGAAAAATGTAAGAAAAATATATGATTATACTTATATAGGATAACTTTTTGATAGCAGCAATTAACTCAATATTTAACTAATACCTAGACCGACTATGTATACACTATACACTATACACTATAAGCCCCTCCCGCGCTAGACCCTAATAAATATGGATATATACGGCATATACCAACTGCTTTTGGGAGCTATTCGCTGGCAAATTTGATGTGATCTTGATAACGTTATGATTTATAGTCTACTTTATATCTATATCTATATCTATATCTATATATCTGTATCTATATCTATATATAGTATTATGATAATCGGATAACTGAAAATCTGTTGTAACTATAATTGTAACTGTAACTGTAACTGTAACTGTAACTGTAACTGCAACTGTCAGATCCTAAGTATTGTGTATTGCCTAGTTGTTGCCCATATTTAGCTCAGATCAAATATCTCAATTCTGTTAAAGCTCAACAGTCAAACAAGGCGGGTGGGTGTGGCACTCGCACAGCATATATGCATCACATAGATACTATGTGTGTGTGTGTGCACATGTGTTGACTTATGTGTGCGTATAATACTTATTATGAAACTTAATAACAAGTCTGAAGACTGACAACTGGTAACCTTGGTAGCATCTCTATATGTACTTTATAACCACCCACCAATGCAAAGAACTATGCCCATACTCTGCGCCTATGCCTGGCCTATTGCTTGCATTCACTAGTCTAGCAACCCTGGCGAGCCTAGCATAACTAGCTATCACTGCAGCCCTGGCCAGTTTTCGATTTAAAGAATATTATGTACAATTAAATAGCCACTGCCAGCTTTGTTGTTTATTTTATTAGTTATTATTATTATTATTATTTTTCTTTTTATTCTCTTTATTTTCATTATTATTTTTTTTCCCCCTTTTTTCAATATTATTGCTATTTTTATTTTAATTGATTTATTTTTTTTTTATTATTATGTTATGGCTACGTATTTTTAATGAAATATTTTAATTTTATTGCTTATTATATAATAATAATTTTTGTTTTATTTATTTATTTATTGTTTTTTTTTTTTAATAATTTTTTTATATTGGTCTATATTTTTTTAAATATTGTTAGTATTTTTTGATTTGATTGTTAGTTATATTTATATTTATATTATTTTTTATTTTGTTGCTTTTTTTAAATTTATTTTAAGTATATTCTTATTCTTGGTCTATTTTTATTTTATTTTTTTTTTTTTGTTACCTTTTGTATGATGCGTATTATTATTTCTAGTTTTATTGGTAATAACATTATAATCGACTGGCATCAGTTGCCAGTTTTCCTTGAACACAATTGCAGCGGCAGGTTCATGCGTAGTCGACTGCGACTTATCATGCAAACCCCATGCCCCGGCAGATTGTCATAAACAAAAAAAAAAATACCATATAAAAGAAAAAAACAAAAATCTGTAGCTAGTATTTAAATACAAAATTGATATTAGCGCAACGGACATTCATTTAATGGAAACAGAATAGGAGAAAGAAGCGGAAACGGAAACGGAAAAGAAAAGCATAATAATAATAATTTAGGTAAATTATACAAATACGAAATAAATACACATACAAACAAAATAAAATACTACTTGAAAATGTACTAAAAGAAAAAACAGTGCAAAAATTAGGAGTTTTTTTTCGGCACTGAAATACCCAAATACAATATTTGTATGGATCTTATGAGAAAATTGGAAAAACTGAAGGAAAAGTGTTTGTTTGTTTTTTTTTTTGTAGAATCTAAACTTGAATAACAAGCACAAAATGCACTTGAAATGAAATGAAAATTAATCAAAAAAATAATAATAATTATAAAAATGTTAGAAATTTGTACAATAATTTAAACAATATATATAGATATATATATATATATATATGTATATTGTATTATATATTGTATTGTATAACTATAAACATTTATATAGATTCTTTCCACTTTTTGACTCTTCTTTTTTCGGCATACGGCTATAAATGCTTCACACGTTTATATACCTATATATATGTGTATATATATGTTGAGATATATATATATATATATATATATATATATATATATATATATATATATATATATATATATATATACAGGTTATGTATATATAGGTTATGTTTTTTATAAGCTATTGTATTACCTTACACGGAACTAACAAAAGAGAACTTTAAACGCTGAAAAATTAATGGGGTAGGGAAGAATAATAATAAGCCCCGAAATACGAATACGAAGAGGAAAACTGTTGTTAAAAAAAAATGCATTTAAATACAGAACAAATATTTCAAATCGAATAAACAAAACCAAAAATGAACTTAAATTGTTACGAAATAAACAAAAACAAAAACAAAAACAAAAGAAAACAATTTCAACATTCATCTATGCAAAAGAGGAAAACGTTTGAAGTCAAAGTTCAAAGTACGAGTTTATGCACTTTCATTATTTAACAATTCATATAGATATACTTAAGTACGTGAACACGAAAATCAGCAGAAACCGAAAATGAGAAAAGCCCAAAGTAAAAAAAAAAAAAATTGAAAATCAAATACCAAAAACAAACATTAATTGAAAATTATTCATTAAAGTGAACGAAAAAACAATTTCAAAAAAAAAAAAAAAACAATAAACAAATGCCTCAGCTTGATTTACTTAAACTGGGCGGGCCATAAGTCCAGGTACCAAATGCAAATAACACTGGCAACGATATTCAGGTAAGTCGCATGCGCCACAACTGATAAGCAATGATATCTATAGGCCATGTAATTAGTATGTTTGCATTTGACTCTGATACTCGTCTTGCCGTTGTCAATTTGTCATGATTATAAATTGTTAAACACACATTCGTATAAGCAGTGCATATTTCACCTGCAATTATGCAATCAGTTTCCGTTGCCTCTTGGCGAAATTTGATTTCTGTCCATTTTAGGGTTTTTCAAACAAATCCTGCCTCGTTTATTTTTTTATTTTTTTTTTTCATAAAAATAGTAAGTATTTGGATGTATCAAAATAAGATCTAGTGTGGTTAAAGTCCAAAACGCTCACATTTACAACACTTGATGCGTATCGCTTATCGTTAAACGCACTGTGTAAACATTCACATGGCACAACTGACCCGCACAACGGCGCACGCGCACTCTCACGTTCTCTCTCTCCCTCTCACGTGCTGGCACAGACACGCTCACCGCAACAATGGCGCTCAAAAAATTAGAAGCGCTTAAATAGTGCATTGCCAAATTTAGGCAGCAGCATCTACTGTTTGTTGTGTCCGCTATTTGAAATTCTTAACTGCACTTTATTAATTATATTTTACAAATAAAAAGTAAACAAGAAAAAATTAAGAGAGCTGTCGCTGTTCTCGTTCGTTCTTTGCATAAGCCTACAAACTGTATTCCTTTAGGTGACCTATTCAAAAGATACGTAAAATGGACAACAAATAAGCGTGCATGTGTATGTGTGTGTGTGTTTCTGTATGTGTGTCGCCCATGAATTGCACACCGTAAAAACGTAACGAATGATCGTGCATAAGACAAATTGTTAAATATCGTAAGTATGCCAAATGTCGTAAGTATGCTTAAAATCTCGTACATATATATGTATGTATGTATATTTATATTATTCTTAAAAATGCTTAGAAATTATAAACACATCTGCAAGTTTTCTATATGTAGACACGTTCATTTTCGAAAATGAATAATATTAATGTGCCAAAAAGTGCATTAAAATTCACAAGGTAAAGTATGCATGTATGTGTAAATACATATATATATATATATGTATATATACATACATATTTGTATAAAATAATTTCACTTAATCATTCTTTTGACAAAATCATTAATAAAACGATATTGATAATCAATATCGTCAGTTTCAAAATATAAACAACCCCAATTGCACGTGGATACCCCCTCCCCCTCCCCCACCCTTCCCTTTCCCAGCAACGACACCACCACACAAAGTTAAGTCCAACAGTTGAGAGTTCTCAACCCCATACACACACACACACACATAAGCAATGCTATTTGATGACGTAGCAAGAGAGCGCATGCTGCTCTCTTTCGTTCTCTCGCTCCCTATTTTGGTCACGCTCTCCGGCAGCGGGCCGCGTCAAATCTGCAGCGTTCATTTTTAATACGATTCAAATACAATTCAGCAGTCGCACCGAGCAGACGAACAGCGCACGCTACAAAAGTTTCTAATCGAGTAAAAAGAATAATACAAAAAGAAGAGAGACCGAAAGTCGAGTTGAGTTGCATGTGAAATGCATTTTTAAATCGCAGCGAACAGTTCAGTGAACGTAAGCAAACGGTAAAGAACAACTGTGCACACACAAATAGAAACGTCTAGAAAACAGAAGAAGCGGAAGTCGAACGTAGCGAATTGTTTTGATTAGAAATCCGATTTTTGTTGCAATTTTTTTTGGGTTCTCGATTTGTGGCTGTGTTCGTTACATACACATACATATATATATTTTTTTATTGTGCTTAAAAACGTAAACAACAAGAACAACGAAATGGCTTTCATGATGCCGGTTATGAAGAACAACTATGATATCTATAAGGACACGCGCTCCCGTAGCCGCAAAACGTCCGAGTGCTCCAATGTGAGCAGCGGCAACGGGACCACAGCGCTGGCCAGTGCTTTGGGCACACCGGGTCAGCAGGCGCCGCAGCAGCAGCAGCAACGTCGACGCAAGGTGTCCGAATGCAAGTCGGAGAGTTTTGCGACGTCGCCGTCGCACGGCCAGTTGGGCCCCCATCGCATGCAGATGCAGCGTTGCCATAGTTCCCGCGGCTTCACGCGCAACACTTCCCGCAGCTCCCACGGCGGCTCCATGGTGCAAATGTCGCAGGGCATTATGATGTCGCCGACGCGTTCGAGTCCGCCCAGCCGCACGCAGACCGCCTCGGCGCTGGAGCGTCAAGCGGCCGCACAGGCTGCCGCGCAGTCGGCAGCAGCGCAGGCCGCAACGGCAGCGGCCACGGTGCAACAGCATCGGACGGAGCAGAGCAACAACGATTATACTAAATTCCATTTGCGTTTGGTCGACAAGCTACGCAAGTCCTTTCGCAAGGACAGCGGCAAGCGGTCATGAGAACGCGTCTCACACACAAACAGCAGCAGCAGCAACAACAATAACAACAACAACCACAATGGCAGCGGCAGCAGCGTCGGCGGCAATAACAACAACAATAGCTCGCAGCTTGACAGCGACGCTGGCAGCACACCGCAGCGTTCCGGTTTCGTCGGCCGTTTGGGCCGACGATTTAGGCGCTGCTGCCAAGCATTCGGCACAGGCGCAGCCGCTGTCACTGTTGGCGGCGGCGGCGGAGGCGGCGACGGTGGCGCAGCTGCCCTTGAGCTGGACTTTGATGATGTCGGCAGCGGCGGCAGCGCTGAGCATCTAACCGCTAGCAGTCCGTATACAATACGTCGCAGTCGTCGTCGCTGCAGCAGCGGCGGCGGCGGCAGCAGCATTAATCGCCTAAAGTTGCGACTGCGCCGCTCCACCTCGTCGCCGGGCTAAGCGTGCAGCGTTCTGCATATGGGCAATGGAAACGATCAAATTCGAATACGATATTCGAATGCTGGAAATGCTTGGAATGCTAGGAATGCAGCTGCGGCGGCGACCGCACTGGCGTACAGAGGCGTTGCCAGATGTGCCAAATAATCAAATTGGGCGGCATTGGAAAGCAGGTAGCGAGAAGGCCTTGGCGTGTTGAATGAGTTGCCAGCTGTTTGCAAATGTTTTGTTAAACTATTTTTTTTTTTCAATATATTTTTTTTTTTTTAGTTTTATTTAAAAAAAAAACCAAACAAAAAGAAAAGATGGATTTTAGACAAGTTTTCCTTCAATATGAATATACATAAACAAATTGATTTATATATAATATCTTAGTTAACTAATTATATTTACATGCATATATACACAAATATATTTATATGTATTTACATGTGCTTAAAGTTCGTGAAACAGTGAAAAAAAAGGCTTCCACACAAACAGACATGCACACACACACGCACGCACACACACACACACACACACACACACACACAACCTACATATACAACAAGAGAAACCATAGAGGAAAACACGCAGCTTAGCATTAAGCATAACGGTTTCGCTAGAAAGAGACAAAGAACCATTTAAATGAGACAAAATTGCAACTGCCAATTGCATTGTACAACAACAACAACGACAACAACAAGAAAACACACACACACACACACACACACACACACACAAAACGAGTAGCAAAAGACACTAAAAATAGACACAAGAATTTGCTAAAAGGAACAGTTGAAAACAAAATTGAAATGTTAAATTTAAGCGCAATTTAATGACAATATATGTATACTTGTATATTTATATATCAAGTTATATAAATACATATACATATTTATTTACTGTTGCGAGCAAAATACAAAAACAAAACAAAACAGAGCTGATGATAAACAAAATATGAAACAGACTTGACAAAAATACATTATATAATTCTATATATACATATATATATACATATACATATAATATTTGGTATATTATAAATACCGCAACATTTGTACCTATACACATATTATTAATTATCAAACCTTTTTTTTATTGTTGTTTATACACATATATAATATATATATATATAAATATAATATACAGACGTGTAATTATTATTTCTAAATGTTTAGCGCTTTATTTTATAACAACAAACACACACACACACACACAACAAAAGTGAAAAACACACAAATTAACCAATAAAAAAAAAATGCTTAAAAAACAATATAAATAATATATATATAATTTGACTGGGTTTTGCCTTGTGGCACGCAACCGAGCTCAACATGCAGCAGCAGCAAGGGTAGTGTGGGGGGTGGGGGGAGGTATAAATGTTGACTAAATGCATGCCAAATGCGCAGCACATGCGTTGGGCGCCAGCCACATAATGTAACCCAACCCCACCCCCACCCCGCAGCCATCCTCATGCGATCATACGCTTTCTTTGACAATTGCGGCATGCGGAAAAGCAAAGGCGGCCAAACAAATTCAATACGAATGACAAAAACAAATGAGTAAGAGCGCCCGACTGGCAGATACCCTTTAGCAAGCATTCCAGCTTCCATGAATGCATTCTTGAATAACTTCGGTGCTTGAAGTCCGATTTTTGTGAAGCTTTCACCTATATAAGTTTTTCTCTCTCTCTCTCTCATACTTTATTTAATTTCATATTGACTTCTATGAGATACCCTGTAAACTAATTATAAGGAAAGTCCACTAGGCTGTTATCGGTTCTGTTTAAGCGATGCCCTGTAAAACGTGTTCAAGCGGGGTATTATACACTTTGCAGTCGTTAGTTAGGTTTTTCGGACTCTGCATCAAATATTGAACAATAATAGGCATTTTTTTCTTCAGAGAATACCCTGTAAAAATGGGTAAAAAAGCTGCGCGCAGCATATTATCAAATAACCCAAGCCTGTTTTTCCAATTCCGGTGCATTAATTAAAGCAAAAATTGTATTGCTCTAGTCGTTTGAGCATAGCAGATACCCTATAAAATATTTATAAGAAGAATGAGAACTTTTAAAGCTCTGCAGCTTGAGTATTCTTCTTCTGGGATTATTTCCGCTCTCTTAAACCGCTTGGAAAGCAACAAATTGTCAATATTTGCTAACTGTAATACCCTAGAATATGTGTGTTTGGCATGAAGTACTTTCATTGTGTTGGCGGGCAATCTAATACGAACTGGGACAATGTGCCGAATCTCGAATCTTTTGGCTGAGACCAAAATAATTCACATACAACAGCCACAGTATGCAAATTTAAAGGGTATTTACAAATACCTATTGACTATGTACTTGAAGCTTATTGAATGTTTTACACGGGTTTTGAAGCATGCCACAATTTGGGCTAGACATTTTTTTCTTTTGTCGAACAGAGAAAGAATAACATATAGTATATATATAAATATATATATGGTATATATGGTACATAAAGTTTAAAATACGTTATATTGAAATCAATATAGATCGAGCATGAAAATATTATCTGCTTGTAATGCTTACCTATAAAAACTGAAGATTCTCAATGTGGCTTTCATTTAAATACGACTTATTTGGTTTGAAAACTTTAAAGGAACAATAGGGCATACAACAATCCAAACCTAGTAAATATTTCAATTTCAATTCAGTGCCAAAACAAAAAAAAAAAAAAACAGCACAAGCAATAAAAATTGTCGCGAAATGAGTCGAAAGTCTAAAAATAGATGAGCGGAGAGGCATAAATGATCCGAGAAATGGACTTTGGGCTGGGGCTACGAGATTTCTCGCGACTCTACAAATAACGTAACAATCTTAACTGCGTTTGTTCTTATTGTTGTTGTTGTTGTCATTCAATTAGTCATATCAAGAAATTGGAATTGAATTGTTTTTTTATTTTCTATAAACAAGTGCAAGTGCAAGGCATTTGTAGATAAAAAAAAAAAACAATAGATATTTCGAATATTTGTACTGTGTGTACTTGTGCGTGTGTGTGTGTGTGTGTGTGTGTGTGTGTGTGTGTGTGTCTAATTATCAGTGCTTTCTTATCGATTGTCATGGACATGGGGCGCGAAACCGGTTTGGGCCAGTTTTGGTTTTGGCATATTTCAAGTTCACATGACAGTAAAAAACAAGTAAGAGCTTCTAGTCGAGCGCTACCGACTAGGGGATACCCATGAGTACAGTTCTTCCAACACCAAATGCACATCTATATACTATTCTAGAAGCTACATGTCAAGTTTGGTGACTCTAGAGATAGATACAGCGATTTTTATCGATTATCTGGAAACGGGGCAAGTTATCGATTATCGGACTAGCAGAAGCTACATCTTCAATTTCAAGTCTTTAGCTCTTATACGTTCTGAGATCCTTGCGTTCATACATACCGAATGTACGGACAGAGAGACGGACCTGGCTAGATCGACTCGACTGTTGATGCTGATCAAGAATATATATACTTTATGGGGTCGGAGATGCTTACTTCTGCCTGTTACATACATTTGCACGAATACATTATACCCCATTTGCCCATTTTCAATGGGTATATGATATATGAAATATATAGCAGATACTGCCATACACATATGCCACGTTCTGCATTCATAAATGTCAGCTTTTGATTTACACGCCGCGTTATTTGTCGAAACCATAAATTGAATGATTGAAGGCGCTTCGAAATATTTGGGTAGAAAAAGTGCATTTGTTAAAATATTACATGTCGTATACATAATCTTTTATTTATTAAATATATTTGTATCTTCAATGTATATATATATATATATCTATATGGTTCAGTTGGGGTTTCCAGTTGGGCTTAAGTTTCAGTCAATAGTAAGAAAGAGAATCGACTTATCGAGTTTGAACCAGCACGGTTCAAACCCGCTTCGCAGTCGTATTCAAAGGCTTCTGGGAACTGTGCTTTTCTGGGTTGTTCATTTTGAAGGCTTTTGGCTTTTGAATGGGCTGTAAAAAACTCAGAAGTTAATTTACTCAATAGTTAAAAAAATGTATATAAAAAAAATAACGAAAAATAAGCAAACAAAAAAAACATTGTATGTACATATATATATATATATATATATATGCAAAATAACTTACGTATAGTTAGTCGGAGCTGTGCATACGCTTACAGAGAGAATGGCGCCTTTGTCATGAAGTGTGCAACGCATAGCATGAGACATCTGCATGCCCTATAAGGTGTATATATATATATAGGCTGGATTAGTTTCAACAGCCTAGTCGATAGTCTGTCCGTCCGGATCGGAACACCATATCATATAGCTGTAATAATCAGTCGAAGATCAAGTTCTTGCCTTAAAAGTATCTGGAATAACAATAGCAACAACATGAGCACAATCTTATCTATATCAGGGAACTAGATATATATATAGTAGATAATGAGTTTTTCTATGAGCAACTTTTCTGTTTTACAAGATAACTTAACGATTCTCCTCAGTTAACATTAGAAGCGTTAGGGTATTCCATCTTCGGTGTGCCTCGACCGATCGATCACAAGGAAAGAATTCCGCAGCAGCTTTACTGGCTGCAACATCTCCATTTGCTGCCATTGATCAATTCATGTGTATGCATGTGTGTGTGTATATATATATATATATGTATGTATATATATGCGTATATATATTTCCGATTGGTTTCATCGGATTGAATTTCATGCTCCATCAAGCACTGCCAAATCGAATGCATCTAATGAAATCTGCAATCCATTCGATGCGAATTAAACTTTATATAACACAACATGTGTCTGTGTGTGTGCGTGCGTGTGTGTGTGGGCGGGCGTGTGTGCTGTCAATATTGTTACGTATGCTTTTGTGAAATTCATGCTGCTTATTGTGCAACGCGTCTTCGTGGCGCTAATTAAAAATGAAATTGCATTTCGCACAGCAGCTCGCATTTCACAGCGTCCCCTCCCTTCCACACACACACACACACCCCCCCCCCCCCCCCCCCCCCCTGGCCGGCCGGCCGGCACACGCGCATGCAGCACCACGCCCACTGTCGCTGACGCACAGAACAGCATAAAATACGCGACGCGACCCCCCCCCCCCCTGCTCCTCCGCGCAACCCCTTCCACGATTTCCATTCCCCATTCCCATTCCCATTCGGTGTGCCCGTCCATTCATATTTGCGCTTTTTCTTGTTTTATTCTTTGTCACTTGCGTTCGCATGCTCCCACTCGCTTGCCCTCTCGCTCGCACTCGCTCTGTGTCGCACTCGCTCTTTCTGCCGCTCACAACATGCACAATAACAAATTGGGTTGGCCTTGACACGGGTTAAGAACTGTTGTTGTTGCTGTTGTTGTTGTTGTGGTTATTGTTACATTTCAGTTGCTTCGATTCTATTCGCTAATTTACGGCGCGGTCGAGGTCGGTTTTCTGTGCTCGCCACTTTCATACCCTGTACTCGGCGCGAATGCTTCAAAATGGGTATACAGGTTTGCTGCAAATGTATGCAACAGGCTGTGGGCAGCATCTACCCTAGCTTATATATTCCTGTTCTCAATCTAGAGCCGACTCGTTATAGTCAAGTCCGACCGTCCGTCCGTCTGAGAGGGCGCAGGGGGGGGGGGGGGGGGGGAGTATCGGGAGAAACCTTTTGGATGGAAATACGGATCAGGATTGCAAGCCGGAACAGCTGATCGGTAATACAAATATTCTATGCTGCGGGTTTGAACCAGCTTGCAGCCTTGCTCGACATTAATAAAGCTTTCGCTGCCAATAAAGCTTTATTTTTTTTTTACATTTTTGATCGATTTGACGAAATGGACAAGATCCAAATGGAAATATCCGGCATCGGGCCATGTATAGGGTGGCGTGTGTGTGTGTGTGTGTGTGTGTGTGCTGCTTGCTGCTTGTATGTGAGTGTGTGTGTAGAATAGACTATAAAAATATAAAAGGAACTCCCTAGAAGGGCTGCTTCTGCTGCTGCAGCTGCGCCTTTAGCAAGGAGCCGCCTATGGCCAGCGAATCGTCTAGGCCCGGCACCGTAAGGAGCAGCACGGCATTTGGGATGAGTTTGCAATCGTACAGGGTCTTGTCCATGTCGCCTCCGTTCAGTTTGCCCGACAAGTCGAACGGAAGGGTCTCATCCGTCAGGCAGGATCGCACGAAATCAAAAATATCGGAAACCTTCTCCTTGACATCGAAGGTGCCCTGCAGATACAGCCCATCGGGCAATTTGATGCGTATCAGGGTGTAGCTATAGATGCTCTCCCGCATTGCCCCGATTATCGGCATTTGGGAGCTCTCGATGGTGTCCTTCGCCGAGATGCGAAAGAAATCGTCGGGCAGCTGAATGGGAATCGCCTGCGCGGGCTGCAACACCTTTGTATTGCGATCCAATATTAATTTGAAGGACTGTGTGTGCTTTAGAGTTTCCACCAGTATGTTCAGATCCAGTTCAATATGCGCCTTGCTCCAGACCAGAAATGGCTCCCCATTGATGGCGACTTCATCAAAGCCAGCGGCATGGAGCACATCCAGGGCGCCATCCACGTAGCGCACCCTGCCATTGAATATGGTATTAGACATACGGATTTTTGAGAACTGCTCCTGATCTGGACTCTGGATAATGTTCTCCAAATACTGGACGAGTGCGTCTCGACAGTCGTCGGCCTTCTCCACTGGATTGCAATTGCGTATGATTAGGCAGCCGGCCAGGCCACGTTCGTGCTCCAGCTGTCGATGTAGCATGTCCTTGATCTTTAGCTGCCACACTTGCTTGGGCAGCACTTCCGGGCTCAGCTCTGGACAGCGAAAGAACACACCCTCGCACGCTAGCTCCGGCTGCTGCCCAGTCGAGGACATGCTGGCTGAGCCACCGGTGCAGGGCAGCTCCTTGAACGCTTCACGCTCCGGCCTTGGCGCTGCCTCAGGCCAACTATACTTGCGCATCATGCTTAACAGCACGAGGTTGGCGGCGGCGGCGCTCGTCTCATCGTGCTGCTGGTGGCGCAGGGGCGGCACATGGGCAGCCCGGATGCGCCGCAGGATGCTCGGCGTTGCGTACGGCTGGGCCGCGTTCAGCTGTCGTCCCTGGCCCATGCCGCTGCGCAGTCGTAGCCTGAAGGCGACCTCCTCCTTCTTTTTTGTAAAATATCGCTTGATCTTCGACATTTTCTAACGGAATTTTAGCAAACTTTAATTCGTTTGCGTTCAGTAGGCCACATTTGTTCGACTGCAAAGGAAAAGAGCTCCTTGATAAATTATGCACATATGTACATAGTTTCTAACTTGCCAATTTGCTAGACTTTGCTGACTTTTTCGAACAAAAGCATTTTGTCTCTCCTTTGTACAATGTTTGCGCTTACTTAGCCTGCTTTTGCAAAGATTGCCAGATGTCGAAAATTTGGCGTTTTACAATCCAAAAAAAAAATGCGGTCACACACTTAACTACTGCATAACGGCTAAAGGCAATGACGCCAGTATTTTTTTTTTTTGCGAGGTAACTCTCAGTCGTGCCAGCATGTCTGGCTGCTTGCTTGATTTTTCGTCGCCTTTTGCGAGACAACAACAAATGGCAACAGGTTTTCATTGGCACAAACTGCAACACTCTAGCCAACGCAACCCACCTCTACCCCTCGATCCTTCAACACCCCACCGCACGACATTCGCCAATCAATGCTAACCGCATGAATATGTATGTCTGTATGTATGTATGTGTTGCGCGTGCTTCGTTCAATTCACCAATTATGAGTTAATAAACAATTTCTCGTTTTATCCCGTTCGATTTGACCAGCCAAAAGAAATATCAAGCACACACACACACACACACATACACACATATACGCCTACATAGTTGTGCAGCGCTGTGACGCAGTTATGCTAATGAGCATTTAGCGGCTTGGCCAGTGACACTTTAAGCACGGCGACAATGACCCCTACCCCAAAACTTTTCACTTGAGTTGGCTTTCCAGTTTCGTTAAGTCTATACGTACTCACAGTCGCATTTACGCTCTTTCTCTCTCCCGCCTCAATGCACTTGTACTTTGCATGCGGCGGCGTCTTTCAGTCGACGCTTTAAGCTTAATTTTGTTGTTGCCTTCCATTTGATGCTGATGTGCGTGTGCATGTATGTACATATGTGTGAGTGTCAGCGTTTGTCTAATTGCAGGCGCTGCAATTTGACGAAAATGAGCAAACCACCAAAAACTAAACGAAACATGAAAATAAGTAAATATGTATGTATGTATGTATGTATGTATGTATGCATGTATGTATGTATGTATATATTGCACTTGGAGCACGCCAATTCCAATGTACAGTTGCCTCCATTAATTGGTTTATTTTCGTCTCTTGCGTTTTGGCATCTTCAACTTGTTGTTTACAGATCGGCTAAAGATCAAGGTGAAGCGGCAGCGGATACAACTGCCTGTTGCCAAAAACTAAATAGAAAAACAAACGCGAGTGCCCGTGTGTGTTTGTGTGTGTGTGTGTGTGTGTGTGTGTGTGTGTGTGTGTGTGTTTGTGTTTATGTTTACGTGCTTGATTCTTACATATCCCACTTGCCTGCCCTGCTGCTTTGCATTGACGTCACAGACGCCAGGCGCAACGCGTGCGGGCGGGCAGGGCAGCCTGAACCGTTGAAGGATGTATCGAGTGGATTGCAGGAGATGACATGCAGCGCATTAGGCGTAGCCATTTCAGATGAACGGATGCTGCTCGGAATAAGCAAATTAGCCAGCAATACGGAGTAAGTTATAAAGCACACATAAGTGCATGGCAAATAGCACGGATGGAAGCGAACGCAAAGGATAACGGGCGCATTAGGCGGAGCGCTTTTGCACAGTGGAGCAAAATGTGCTAAATGACAGCAAATAATATGCTATATATATAATTTATCGATTTGCTGCGCAATCGAACAGAGCACTGTTAACGATATATTAACGGTTTTCGTGCAGCGTCAACCGCAACGCAAACAAATGCAAATGCAATGGAAAATTCCCAAAACAATTGGCCAGAACAGGTTTGCGGCCAGGGAAGGGAGTACAAGCGAGTGCGAACTAGTTATGCCCTAAGAGGTGGTTGCTTCCCTGATATGCCCATCGATTTAACAAAGCCCCGTTATCCTGACCTAGTCAAAGTTTCGCCCTATGCGCAACTCTCTCGCTCCGTCTCCAAATCTCTCTCCTTGTGCGTGTGTCTCTCTCCCTGCTAACATGCCAAAACTCACGTCAGCCACAGCGGCGACAACATTGACAGGCATTTTCGAGGTCTGCTCGTCTGTGCCGGCAAAGATGACAGCCCGCAGCCCGCAGCCCGCAGCCCGCCAAACTTTTCCACTTCCCTGTCATGGTCATGTCCGTGTCCGTGTCAAGGACATTCAACTGCGTGTACGCACGTTTCACGGCTCTTGGGCTTATTGATTTTGTGTTTAAACGGATTCCTCTATTGTTCTTAGCCAATACAAAACATTTTCTTTGGGCCAATAAACATGCCCCAACCAATTTGTTGACAGTTTCGAGACAATAAGCTTTGCTAAGCTAGATAAAACAGCCATTGTGCATAGGAATACAAATAGAGTCTACTTAACGGTAAATACGTATGTTAACCTCAACTTTATTTATCGAATAGACGCATTCGATTTCGTTTGTTGTTTAAAGGGCAACAAAGACCTAATTGCAATTGAATAACTAGATAAGTTAGATAACGCCCTGTTATAATAATCTAATAGACTCATCATAATAGGATCCAATAAGCCATAACTGCATGATGAAGCATTTTTTTTTCGCCAGAAATAGTTATATCCAAACCAAACGAACCAAACAGATAACACTTATTATATTTTTCCAGTAGACTTCAATTCGATTTATTACTCATTAATTTTGAACCCTTGGCCCATGGTAACTTTCCCACATTCCCCACATTCTCCAGTTTCCCGCTATCCGACTGAACATATGGCGTTTCCTTTTAATCGGCTGAGCCCTCATTAGCAATAAGCTGATTTCCCAGCTACTTGGCCAACTTGGGTGCACAATTGGGAAGTTTTTATGAAAAAGAAAACAAAAGATGCGATTGCATTGGCAGCAGCTCTCGTTATCTCATCGTGTAGAAAGGCAGGAAGGCAGGACCTTAAGCTGAAGCTAGTTGGTGTACATATGATTTACAATTGCAATTGCAGAACAATTTGTAGTTTAATGAAAAATTATAATGCATATTTAATGGCCAGCATTACTGGTGTAAACTTTGCCAGCTGAAAATCATTAGCGCTTCGCATCGCTTGGCCTTTTGGGCGGCATATAAAAGACGCCAGCAACTGGAATTCTGGGCAGTCCTAATTGAATACGTGACCTTATAAAGTGGCCAGAGCCAGACTAATCACCAAGTAGGCAATTTTTTGTATTATTTTGAAGGCTGATTCGGTAATTTTCTATGATTTTGTATAAATTATGCGCCCCACGTTGGGCGCCGACAATAACTAAATAGTCAAACGCTTTCCGCATTTTATCCGCAACGCACATTCCAGTCATGGAGAAGATAAATAACACAGTTGGGCACCCAATGCCGGACACGTTCGACCTGGGCATCTGCCTTGAAGACTTCTGGCTGCAACTCGCATGGGTCCTGCTCATCGGCATGGCCGTGGGGCTAGTATTGTGGCTATTGCGTAAGTTTATCCTGGGTCCGGTGTACCGCAAGCCGAACCGCATCGATGGCAAGGTGGTCATCGTCACCGGCTGCAACACGGGCATTGGCAAGGAGACGGTGCTGGAGCTGGCGCGCCGGGGCGCCAAGATCTACATGGCCTGCCGGGATCCGGCACGCTGCGAGGCAGCCCGCATCGAGATCATGGATCGCACACAGAACCAGCAGCTGTTCAATCGCAGCTTGGATCTCGGCTCGCTGGAGTCGGTGCGCAACTTTGTGGCACGCTTCAAGGCCGAGGAGACGCGCCTCGATCTCCTGATCAACAATGCCGGCGTCATGGCCTGTCCGCGTACTCTCACCGCCGACGGCTATGAGCAGCAGTTGGGCGTCAATCATTTGGGCCACTTTCTGCTCACCAATCTGCTGCTGGATCGGCTCAAGCAGGCGGCGCCCAGCCGGATTGTGGTGGTCACCTCGGCGGCGTATCTGTTTGGGCGCATCAACCGCGAGGATCTGATGAGCGAGCGCAAGTACGGTAAATTCTTTGGCGCCTACACCCAGTCCAAGCTGGCGAACATACTGTTCACACGGAAGCTGGCCATGATGCTGATGGGCACGGGCGTTACGGTCAACTGTTGCCATCCGGGCCTGGTGCGCACGGATCTCAATCGGCACTTTGTCGCTCCGCGCTGGTTTCTGAAAACCCTCAGCGTACTCTCGCTATATTTCTTGAAGACGCCGCGTGCCGGCGCCCAGACCCAGCTCTATTTGGCCCTGGATCCGGCACTGGCCAATTCCACGGGCTGCCTATACGCGGACTGTTTTCGCTGTCCCCTCGTGCCCTGGGCACGTGACATGGCCACCGCCGACTGGCTCTGGCGCGAGAGCGAGAAGCTTGTGGGCATGTGCCCAGCAAAACGGCATGCAGCCAATATGACAATGGGGTCCGAAGCCTGAATCGTTGATTGAATGGGAGGACAGTGATTGCCTGGGCAAGGCCTGGTCTTCGAATGGGACTCAGAAGGCAAGGAGAACGGAATGCAGGTGAAAGATTTTCAGCAGCCAATACTGGACAGATACAATTATATCCTTTTAAAGTCACTTTTGATTAGGTATCCAAAATCAAAACCCTAAAGCCCCTCATAGCTCAGCACGTTTTGAGTCCTACAATTGCCCCTGACTCAACCATAGTCCCTTTCTGTATACCCTTGCAGAGGGTATAGTCTATAGACGCATAGAAGCAGACATCTTCGACCCCATAAAGTATATATATTCTTGATCAGTATCAACAGCTGAGTCGATATAGCCATGTCCGTCTCTCAGTTTTAAAGCTATCTTTATGAAACTTTGCAAAACCAGCTAAATCGGACCACTATAGCATATAGCTGCCATAGGAACGATCGGTTTGTTTATCACGATATCTTGACCAAACTTAGCATTTATTAGTTTAACTATGCTCCTCATATATATGCAAAATCCTATCAACATCGGACCACTATATCATATAGCTCGATCGGTCGAAAGCTTGCTTTTCGATTAAAAACTTTTTTTGTTTATAAAAATATCTTGACCAAATTCGACATTAACTGTTTTTGCCTGCGCTTCTTAAATACGGGCAGAGCAATATGATCATTATGAAAAGGTTAAGTCTGCAAGGGTATTTGATCTTCGGCGTGCCAAAGATAGCCTTTCTTTTCGGTTTTTTTTTTAGAGAATGGTTAGACATCCTTTTGTTATAATAAGTAGATGCATAGACTGAAATCCTGCGAATATTATAATAATAATAATGCTTAGTTTAACAAGTGCAATTTGCGAGAAAACGCTTTTTGAACAAATATTTTGAGATTGTGATGAAAAATATTTTGCAATTTTAACGCTCTTCCCAAACTTTGAACCTTTAAGAAAAGGGCATTAACTAGTCCGCATACTTTCAAGACTGTGCCAAAGCCTAATTTACATGTGTCGAGCCCTGCCCAACACAATTGGGATATGGGCGAGAGAGAAAGAGAGAGAGAGAGCGACAGGTTGTGAGAGCGGCGGCGGCGGCGGCGGCCACAATCAAAACAAACAAGCCGAAGAGCGTGAACAACCAAATAAAACGGAATGCAAGAAAATTGTTCAACGTTAGCGTCGACGCTGGCAGCGAAGCGAAAAAAAATCGCTTTAAAGTGAAAGTCGAAAGCATAATTCAAGAGAAGAGCAAAAAAGAAAAGAAATTTATGACAACAACAACGACAAAAATGGGAATAACAGGCAGCAGCCGTTGCGGCTTCTATGGCCATGTTGGTCTGTCCCCAGTCGGAGTGTAGTGCGACTGCGACAGCGACTGCGACGTCGACTGCGACTGCGACTGCGACGCATGCACATGCATAAACTTATATTAATAACAGACGCCAGCAAAGTCGACGGCGTCGCCGCTCAAAATTGTATTCAGGTTATTTTGACGTGTTAGCGGCTCAGCCAGAGCCAACGGGAGTCGAAGTCGGTTTCAGTTGGTTAAGATCACGCGAGACGCTTGGACGCAACGGTAACAAGAGCAGGCGCAGAAAGACAATTCCAAGAAGCGGTTCCACACACACACACACACACACACGCGCGCGCGTACACAGATCAAGAGATAGCCGGCAGCAATTCGTCAAGTGCTCAACTCAACGAAAGCCATTGTCGTTGTTGTCGTTGTTGTTGTTGTCGATTAAATGTGTGAAATTGGCGCGTGAGGAAGGAAAGTGGAAGGAAAAGAGTTGGGTCATCGTCAAATTTGGCAAGTAAGAGATCCGTCAGGTGTTTACAAATATTTCGAAAGTATTTTCTGTCTTTTTTTTTCGAATGAACTGCAAACATAAGCCTGACTTTAAGTGTTATCGATAAATATGCCAGGGCAAATGTTTGGCGCTTGTTAAATTCAATAACAGCCTAAGCCGTTAAATTTGAGCTAATTTCTAGTCGAAGTAAATGTTGTAGTTGCAATAAGTTTTTGAATATTTGACAAAATGTTTTTTGACTTGACATTCACATGGAAAATACGCAGTCGATAACAAATCGATGACAAGTTTATCGTTCGAAATTATCAATAATTAAAGAAAACAACATTTGTTTGAGTAAGTTTATCGATAAATATTTTGTATATGCCTTGTTATAACCTAAGCAAAATGTATCTACTTTGTTGCATTAACTTATCGATAGATATTTAGATATCGATAAACCGATAACGGTAGCTTTATTTGTACGGCACCTTAAAGCTAGTTAAGTAAATGAATCGAACTTCAATTAAGGATCTTTGGCACTTATAAAGAAAATCGATCAATAAATCTGTTATCGATAAGCTTGTTGCTTACCCAAACTATTCTTCTCGCCCGCAGGCACTTTCCACCATTCCCCCCATCCCGATTGCAGCCACCAACTGACGCTCGCACACACACACACACACGCACAGCTCTTAACGCCGTATTCTAGCTATGTCGGAGGCTGCCACGCCCACGACAACGAGGACTGTTTACGACCCAACCGCCGAGGCAGCCGAGAAGGCGCTCTGCTTTCGTGGCATCTGGGCCTGGCTGGTGCTCCTGCTGCTGATCGGCGTGTGCATTGCGTTTGTCATGTGGCTGCTGCGCAAGATCATCCTGGGTCCGGTGTACCGCAAGCCGAACCGCATCGATGGCAAGGTGGTCATCGTCACCGGCTGCAACACGGGCATTGGCAAGGAGACGGTGCTGGAGCTGGCGCGCCGGGGCGCCAAGATCTACATGGCCTGCCGGGATCCGGCACGCTGCGAGGCAGCCCGCATCGAGATCATGGATCGCACACAGAACCAGCAGCTGTTCAATCGCAGCTTGGATCTCGGCTCGCTGGAGTCGGTGCGCAACTTTGTGGCACGCTTCAAGGCCGAGGAGACGCGCCTCGATCTCCTGATCAACAATGCCGGCGTCATGGCCTGTCCGCGTACTCTCACCGCCGACGGCTATGAGCAGCAGTTGGGCGTCAATCATTTGGGCCACTTTCTGCTCACCAATCTGCTGCTGGATCGGCTCAAGCAGGCGGCGCCCAGCCGGATTGTGGTGGTCACCTCGGCGGCGTATCTGTTTGGGCGCATCAACCGCGAGGATCTGATGAGCGAGCGCAAGTACGGTAAATTCTTTGGCGCCTACACCCAGTCCAAGCTGGCGAACATACTGTTCACACGGAAGCTGGCCGTGCTGCTCCAGGGCACAGGTGTTACGGTCAACTGTTGCCATCCGGGCCTGGTTCGCACTGAGCTGAATCGCCACTTTTCGGGCGCCAACTGGACAAGGAACATGCTCAAGTTTATGTCGCTCTATTTGTTTAAGACGCCGCGTGCCGGCGCCCAGACCTCGCTTCGTCTGGCGCTGGATCCCGCTCTGGAGTGCACCACGGGCAACTATTACGCGGACTGCATGCGCTATCCCCTGGTACCCTGGGGCCGTGACATGGACACCGCCGACTGGCTTTGGCGCGAGAGCGAGAAGCTGGTCGGTCTGCCGCCCATCGAGCCAAACAATCCAAATGGCCATAATGCCCACAATGGCAGCGGAGCACGTCCCGTTCCTGCGACTGCGACGCCGACTGCAGCTGCAGCTGGTGACGCAGTGGAGACCGTTGTCGTCGACCGGGCGGCCAGCTAGATTAGAAAATTGAATGGCCAGCCGGCTTGTTGTTATCATCACAGCCCAGTTGAAAAGCGCATCCAGCTCGCAAACCAGTTTGGAACCTGTTTTATGTTTTTTTTTTTGTTTTTTTAGGAATCTATTTGGCCGCAAATCAGAGATCAAAAAATGTTCGTTCTTTGTGCCGGCTGATGGCTATGGTAGCATTTTATTGAAATATATGTACATACGTACGTTTTACTTTATTTAAATATACATACATATGTATGTATGTGTGTACATGCGTGCATACACATGGAAAAGCTTTCGTTTTGTGTGTGTCATTTTGAGTCGAGAACCCGAAATTCAATTAAACATGGCGACAAAATTGAGCACAACAACAACAACAACAGCAAAGCGAAAAAGTGGGCGACAACAAAAGCATATTCATTGAATTCGCCGCCGTTGCAGCTGCTGCTGCTTCTTCTTTTTTGTCAGTCATTCTGTCGCTGGCGTTGCCATTAACGCAGGCAAAAGCAAAAGCAAAAGCAACTACAAAAACGAAACGGCAACGGCAACAAAATGAAACAAAAACAAATCGCCAGCAACAGCATCGAGAGTGCAATTAAACCCATGCAATGCCCAGTGGGTCGTTTTGGTCCGCCAGATTTATATGGGGATTATCATATCATGTCTGTTATATGTGTGTGTGTGTGTGCCCAAAAGCAGCTGGGCTTGATTTCTTCTGTCCCGGTCTCTGGTCAGCAATTAGACACGCCTAATTGTGGCTGTTATCAGAGCGAGACAACTTATGCGATTTGGTTATGTTTTCATATGAATAAGCGGTAAAACAAAGGAACAAAGACAAAAAAAAACATTTCACTTATTTAAAAAGGGTTATCAAAAGCGGGATCTTACAAATTGTGAAACATGTATGTATTAATGCAAATCTTGCATTTTATACTATTTAAGAATTCCACATAAGGGTTAATCGAGAATACAACAAAAACTTACGAGCGGCCAGCAATTACACGAAAAATTGCATGGAAAATTCCACTCGCTGAGTGCCTTTGGATAGTGAGCGCCCTTTCACTCACACACACACACACACACACACACACACGCACCGTGGCAGACAGACACAGCCCCCACTTAAATATACCCAAGCCCAACATTGAATTAAATTGAATCAGTATGTTCATCGGCGAGGTTTAAGCATATGGAAAGCAGTATTCATGTACATACATATACATATGCATGTACATATGTATGTATGTATGTGTTTGCATATGCACAAATACATGTGCATGTATGCTTGTTGATATACATACGTACAGACATAAGTGGGTGGAATTACAGTTGCCTTTGGAGACTGCGTGCAGCACGTGTTGCCCAAAAGCAACAAAATAACGTCAAAGCCAAAGTGCATACATATGTATGCATGCAAATCTTAACGAAAGTTGAGTAATCCGCCATCTGGCAACGCCCGGCTAATTATGCCCAGCTCAGCCCAGCCCAAAACAAACCGACTAAATAACGGAACATGCATACGCAAAAATAAAAAAAAAAGAGGAACATCATATAGCAAAAACTTTCCACTGAAATGTTTGGACAAAAGAACACAATTTGTATTTTTTTTGAACAGACGACATGCTGCAATTCGATACGGAATATGTCATTTGGGCACGTACGGCGACTCAAGCCGGCCTCAGCGGAGCGGCCATATACGCAGGTAAACACCGTATGCATGTGCATACATATGCATATACATATATACTTGATGCCAAATGAGACTACATACATACGTACTTACGTACATGCGACTTTAATGCTTTCCAAACAGATCGCAACAATATTCCAGAAACTTGTCATGTCTGCTGGCACCCTGCAATCTTATAATTTAAAGGGCGCATTGCAAACAAAAATCCACAAGTGTTGATGATTATAGCACACACACACACACACATACACGCACACATGCTGTGAGTGTATGTATATGCCCAATAAACATTATTGCAGTTTATGATGCAATTACCAATCGCCAGATAACAAAGTCGGTCAGTAATGCAGGCAAATGAAAAGAAAACAATTTGCAGCCCTACCGCAAATCGTATGTATATTAATAAATGCATACATACATGCACATTTATCCATATGCCTATGCATGTGTGCACACATGTTGCATATGTACATGTGGAGTATGTATGCATGTACATATGTATGTATATAATACCAATTGCTTACATTGGCCATTTGCATATTTAAAGGCAAACGTGACTGCATCGGCAAAAACTGAGTCACCAGCCCTCCGCTACCCTCGCCCGACATCTTTCCATATTGATACTCTACAATTGGGGGTATTACGAATATGGTCATCAAACTCTATAAGAAATTCAAATGCATTTTCACAAAAGTCTTTGCAAAATGAGTTTAAAGCGGAACGTAACAAATGCGATTTCCACCTATTTTCCACAGTTGCGTTTTTGGAATACACTAGAATCGGGTATGCCCTCTTTATACATATCCTATAGCTTCGATTTGAAGATTGTTTTACAGGAATAATCGGGTACGCATGGAAAACTTTGTTTCGAAAAGCGTACTAAATTGGCCAAATACATACATGATATAGCCAAAATTCCGCATGAGAGCATTGCTGCAAGGGTATACGCTCTTCGGCCTCGCGTATCTAGTCTGTTGGGCTTTGTTGCTTTCGTTTTGATGGCAGCTCTGAATATAATAATTATGATAGTGCAACACACTTGCTGCCTAAGGACGCCCGATAACGTTTGTTTAGCCAAAGCCTGATGTTTCAGCTGGCACCCAGCGGTACCTGGCGCCCGCCCTGACGCCCGCCCTGACGCTCCACAGTCAGCTGCACGCACTGCGCAGTATAATACATATCTCTGCCCAGACAGATTGTGCCTCGACTGCCGTTGACCACGTCATCCAGTCTCTGGAAAGCGCCTCGACTGACGTATTGCGATCTTTGAAGCTAATTAAACAACCTACTCGTTCCCCTTGTCTAACCATTTCATATGTAGATATGTCTGTAAAATGGGAAAAAAGAGAGAGAGAGAAAAAACAAAATATGTAGCTGATCGGCTGGCAGTAGAAAACTTTTCCATAAGCTCGGAGCGTGGGGTGTACAATGACATTTCGCTTCACATTCAGCTGTGGAAATTCGCCCAAGTATATGATGGAATTGTTTCTATGATCATGCCGTTCGAAATATTGAAAATATATCAGCTGCCTTTTAACTAGCTCAAAGCATACATTTTTAAGTAACGGGAATTCCCAAGTAACGGGAACTCTTCGAGATATGCTTACAAAACCTAAGTTTCAAAATCGATATTTATCGATATATTAGCGAATTCCCAAGTAACGGGAGAAGGCATGCATAAAGTTGATCTGTCTAAGCTTAAGGAGAGGCTAAACACATTCTTTAACGTATCTAGCTCTTACATGCTCCGAGAGTTTCCAAATCGATAGTTATCGATATTATGAAAATGAAAAGCGATATCGATAATCGAATCTGACTCGTTCTGCCTGTTACATACATATGCACAAAAGTCTGATGCCCATGTGACGCGCTCTCAATGGTTCCAGGGTATGTGAAAAGAAAACATTTGTACGATCGTAAGTAATTAAGTAATTAAATCATTAGAAAATGCCAGAATTTGTAATTGCTGCATTTCTTACAGGCATACATTTGCATATGTATGTATATATATGTATATGCAAATACTTGACGGATCGTCTTGCAATCGGCCCAAGGTCGCGCCGCGTGTTAATGCAAAACGGACTGAAGAAATGGGGCAACAACTTTCGACTGCATGCGACTTGCGAGCATTTGTGTTTAAGGTAAATTATATTGAAAGACACCCCATTTAAGCACAAGTAAATATCGAAGTGTCGTTTTTGTTTTCTTTCAGCAAACTTGCATAGCTCCTTGTGATGTTTCATACAGCTCATAATTCGAAACATTCTCGTTTAGTTAACATATAATTTTACAAAATTTTTGGTCATCTGAAAATATAAGAATACAATGTCAACGATCCTCAAGAATACTCGTTCGGTAAGTTAACGAGCTATATACATACATACATACATGCATACATGCATACATGCATACATTCATGCATACATACATGCATACATGCATACATACTTGCATACATGCATGCATACTTGCATACATACATGCATACTTGCATACATACATGCATACTTGCATACATGCATACATGCATACATACATGCATGCATAATAACTAGAACTAGTTAGTTGACCATTAATTGCATAGTATAATTAGCCGTAAGCATATTATTCATTACATTTGACAATTGCACACGAATTCGCCAAGCTGCGGATAATACATTTGCCGTCCGAATGCCTTGGCAACGTGACAAAAATGTGTAACCATAAATGACCACATAACAAGCATGTGCATCTATGTATACCTTCATTTTTTTTTGTTGCGACGCGTGAGTTCAAGATTGCACAACGTGCGAAAATTATGAACCCAGTCAAGACGCCGATTCCATCTGCATCTTACGAAACAAAATGGCTGACAATCTGCTTTCCTTCCAAAAATAGAAACCAAAGGCAAGGAAAAACGTCAAAATTGGTTGTTAGGGCTGTCAGTGCGGTTTGCTATTTGAAATTTGCCGCCATTTCCTTTTGGTAACAGATGCGCAACTGCTAGGCACACTGAACGCGCGTCAGACTGCAGCGCTGCCACCTTTTCAAGTTCCATATACGTAACTGAACTTTGCACATTATTGCAGTCGCTTTTAACGGGAATTGGATTGTACAGTAAATGTTGTGAAGTTTATGTTGCTAGTAAAAATGTATTCAACTGCATTTCAAGTTCGTTATTTGCATTTGATTGTGCAACGTAACGTTAACTGCTCAACGTATTGCCAAATGTGTGACGTAAGCGCGTGATACGTGACGTATGTGTAAAATTCGTGCTGCAGCCAACTTAACGTCAGTGCGATTAATACCAAAAACAACGCAGCATTCGTGCCAGTGTGACCATTGTTAGACGATGTTGCCACAATCGACGAAAATTGTGATATTGAAGTGGAAGAATTAAACTTGGTGGCAAGAAAGTCGCGAAAGAGTGTTGACTATTGTAAGAAAAAAGTATAATTTGAACGCGCCAAAAGTAATTTAGCAACTTGCGCATTGTTTACAAATATTTTGCAGCCCAGCGACGACAATTCAAGCGAAAATTAATCAGAAAACTTAACTAACCAGCACTGACACACGCACACAACTAAAAAGGCAAAAAAAATTTATATATCTGCTGGAGGAGAGGCGCTGACGCTACGCCACGCCGCACCGCGCCGCATAGAACAACAAATAGTCAGCGAGTATTAATAATATATAACATTCATATATACATAGAGAAATAGTAGTAATTTTTATCAATAAGCGACGCTCGCGGCTGCAGCAGCAACATGAATTCGAAACGCATCAAATACACAACATTGTCGAGTCCGACAGATGCGCCGTCCAAGGAGGAAATTGTGCCAGTTATCATACAGCACGATACAGACGACGTGGACGGCAGCGGCGAGTCGACACAGTATACATATGCCTATACCACCAATGAGGATGATGACACCGAAACGGCCGTGGTGACGCTTAGCGATCGCGACCATGAGGCACTCGCCAATGCCCAGGAGGTGATAATCGATGAGAACGGGCATGCGGTGACATTGCAGCAATTGGTGGAGAACAGCACCGTTGAGGAGGTGGAGACCATTGAGCAGGGCGACGGCACACACACCATACTGCACATTGTGCCGAACATGGAGGACGATGACGATGACGACGAGGAGGCTATTGAACATGATGACGATGAAATTGTTGGCGTTGAACATGAGGAGGGCGAGGAGCAGGACGACGAGGAGGACGATATGGGCTCAATTGTGTTTGAGGGCACCATCGATCACAGTCCCGAATCCGATTCGCAGTCGCGCAACAAGACCTTCTACTGCCCCAATTGCGGCAATTGCTACAGCGCCGCCGGCTCACTGAAGCTGCACATGCGCGCCTGTTTGCGCCAGCGTAACGAGGTCTCTGCCGAGGATCGCAAATGCAAGGTGTGCAGCAAGATCTTCAATTCGGTGGCCTATCTTAAGGAGCACATGATGCGTCACACTGGCGAACAGCCGTTCCGCTGCACGCGCTGCTATCGCAAATTTGTTGACGAGGCCAAATATAATACACACATGGACTCGCACAAGCATCAGGACAAGCTTGAGGCCGAGGCCGAGGCATTGGCCGCCCAGCATGGCGGCAAAAAGGTTGTGGTCAAGGAGTTCACCTGCTCCTTCTGTTCGCAAAACTTCACCGTTGTCTTCGATGTCGGCCAGGTGAAGCGGCGCTATGCCTGCGACGCGTGCCGCGACAAATACTCAAACGCCGAGGCGCTCCGCCAGCACAAACAGCAGGTGGAGGAGAAGCGCGAGTTTAGCTGCGAACGCTGCGGCCGCAAATTTGTCTTCGAGGGCTTCCTGCAACGCCATCTGCCCACCTGCGATGGCAGCATCAAGCGTCGCCGTGACATGAAGTAGAGGTGGCAGCAACGTGATGGCAATTGGCGGCGCCGGCGCAAAAGATCCGACAAAATCGACAACGATCCGGATCAGCAGCTGCATGATATGGGGGATCAACAGCAGCTGCAGCAGGAACAGGAACAGGAGCAGCAGCAAGAACAGGTGCTGATGTCGCCGCCAATGCGTTACGTTGTTATCAAACAGGAACAGCTCGAGGAGCTGGAGGAGAGTGTCGACCAGGAGCAGCCCTAGAGGCTGGTCAAAAACAAATGAAAGCATATGCAAAACATTGATAATATACTTTTCTTTCTTACACACACACACACACACACACACACACACACACACACACACACACACACACACACACACACACACACACACACACACACACACACACACACACACACACACACACACACACACACACACACACACACACACACACACACACACACACACACACACACACACACACACACACACACACACACACACACCACACACACACACACACACACACACCAGCTGTAGTTAAATACTAGCTTTTAGGCAGTCCCAAGCGCGCCTCCAGCTGGCATTGTAATTATAATTCTCTCTCTACAACAAACTGAAAAAAGAAAAACGAAAAAGAACATTTTCATTGCTGCGCTCAATTTGATATCGAGCGCACACCTACACCTACACACACACACACACACACACACACACACACACACGCACACACACTTGGTTCTTGCCACGCTGGGGGCCGTAATACATATAAATACACACTAATATATATATATATATATATATACATATAGAAATATATAAAAAACAAACATATATATGTGTATATATATATATATATGTATAAATACATATAGAGAAAGATATCGACGAGCAGTAAAATCGAACTTGATATAAACTTTTTTTTTTAATATGTAATAATAATTATAAGAATTTGTTATGGGAGTGTATCGAGGCATATATATTAGTTTATATCCATATATCAGGGCTTCGTACAATGTCAAATGTACAGTGTACTTTTTATTCAATTTATACTTTTCCATTTACCATAGACGGATCTGAAATGATCTTGAATCGGCCGAGATATTGCGTAAAATCCCCCAAAATGAGAATATGCTTACACAATTACAATTATTGATGTTGAATTCAATAAAAACAAAAAACGAGAGAAAAACGCAAAAACACACAAGAATAAAAACAACACAAAAACAAACAACCAAAACAAAACTGAAAACCAAGCTTTATATAAAAAAGATTTCTTTTACTTCTCTTTTAACTAGCCATAAGCCATATTATGTATATTCCAATTGTTTTCGAACATTTCCCTGAGAAGAGTTTTATATGGGACACAGATCATATATTCTTGCCGGATTAAAAAAATATCCTCTGGGATATTTAAGCTCCGTCAATTTCTTACAACTTTTGTAGAAATGTCCCCAAATTCTTAGATCTCATAGAATTATATGATATAGTTGTTGTTGTTTCGTTTTACGGTTCGAGCTAAGTTCTGGTTCAAACCTAGTTTTTGGCATACATTTTCAGAATATCAATATTTTCCTTTAAATTGCTCGTCCTTCTGAAAATATAGCATTTCCTACATATTTGCATATAGAAATTTTGGGCTAGATTTGATGCCCATCCGAAATTCGTTTCGATAAATGCCATGTTTCCGTTTTACGGTTCGAAGTTAGTTCTGGTTCAAACCAAAATAATAAAACCCTATTTTGTACAGAACGTTCTCATGCAACTATATGATATGGTGATCCGGCAATAGACAGACTATGCCATGTATCTTGGCTCAAATATATTATAATTATATTGTGATGCATAGATGCATATCTAAATGATTGATATAAGAAAACTGAATCTGTATTCGGAACATGCGGCGTGTGTTTTCTCGCGAACATAAAAACAACACGATGTTTCATTTACTTCTCTTTCTTTCATACTAACCAATGCAGGCAGCAATTGGTTTATTAATCATTTTAAATAGCGCTTAGGCGAAGCTACAAACAAAAAAGGTGCATTTAACTAATTAGCTGAAGAGTGGGAGCAGCCGGCAGCAGCAGCAGCAGCAGCCGGAGGCAGCTGTCCTGCTCCCAGCCTTTTTCGTTTACGACCAGAGCTTGAGGTGTGCACGCTTGGCGTATGATTTCCAGTCGGCGTGAGCATAGAACTCCTTGAATATGGGTGTAACTAGTGTGTCCTCGGGCAGTGTCTTGAAGATGGGCTCACCATACCAGGTGCCCACCTGGCAAAGATATAAGAATAGAATATACAATAAACAGCCGTCATTTGTCTGAGATGCTCTTACCTCCCAACCGGGCACATTCTTCATGAGTTCAGCCTCCTCGTCACGATTGCGGCGCAGTTGGCGCAAAAATTCACGATCACGCTCCGCAATCAACAGCGGAAGGATGACGTTCTGGGCCGAGCGCATCTCAATCTCGTCGCGCCTGACCTTTTTGGCTGTCAAATAATAGATGCCTATACCGACAGCGGTGACGGCCACATAGGTGCCAATCATGGTGAAGCCTGCGTTGCATAGAAATGGCACCAGTTAATGCTAATGCTAATAATTATAGACAACAGCTAATTGAATGCACCTGTGAAGTAGCTCTTGGGCGGCACACGAGCAAAGGGTATCTTCTTGTAGCCACCGGGCGGTGGTAGGTCCTGTTTAGGGGGCACATGCGGCACGGCCGTCGCCATGTTGGCTGCTGCAATGTTGGGTATTGCATAGTAATGGCATGTGGCCAGCTATGGCTGCATATATATTTCGACTTACGCTTTGATAATCGGTTGAAAAATACGAAATTGCCAGCTAAAAATTCAAGACGCCTTTTGCATAACACGCAGCGCAATGTGACCACAGCTGACAACTAACAAAATACCAAAATCGAAATCAAAAAAAAAAAGCCAACTGCTCTACTGAATAACTTGATTGGAAGCGTCTTTCTAATTTTGCTCAACTGTCTGCCAGTCGGACAGCTTGTGTTCGGTTTTAATAATTAACCAATGTCTGCCACAAGCCAAGTTGACAGCTTTAAAATGTCAACATTTTAAATACTGAATCAGTAACTAAATTGCTAGCTGTCAACTAATTAGAAATTCTGGCAGCTCTGACAGCTGACTGCATCCGATCAAACTGTGCCACAATTTATTAGTTCAAATATTTCCAAATTATTATTTCATTTGAATAATATTGATATAAATATGACGCTATTGCATAAACTGGTTGCTGGCAATCGGCCCACCATATTCTGGCAGCAAAGTCGCTGCATTAAGAAGAGTGCCTTGCCATCTAATCAAGACTTTAAAAAGAAGATGTCTCAAGCGCAGATAAAACCAATTGAAATACAAAAGGACGACAGCGAAACAAAAATTGAGCGGGTGAGCGACTATTTAAAATGGAAATGGATTCAAACATTGCGCGGTTGCCGAAAGGTACACTGCTTTTATCAGCTGGCTGCTGTGTGGGTGGTAGAGTACTTGTTTTTGGTATTTTCATTGTAATCGATATTGCAAATATCATAGTTGCTCTGTTAAATAACCAAATATTACATTAAATGTAATGCGCAAACAAAACAGCAACTGGTAATTGTTGCTAAAACGCTTTGACGATCGCTTTAAGTTGGTTACTTTAGTTTTAGCTCTCTATTATGAGCGTTATGCAAATGTAAACCAAAAGTATCGATAGTTGCTGCAACACCAACGACAACAACAATCGACGGATAGCAACTGAAAGCCAGCCCAAGATTCGAATTCGAATAATATTTGTACATTCAGTTGCCGCGCAGCTGCCGTATAGGAAGGGAGAGTAGGAAACATTTTTCGCTCGCCAAACAAACGACACAAGAAAAGAACATTTCCAAATTCTTCACTCGGGGAAAGCAATTTTTTTCTGTGTGTGTGCGTGTTAGTGTTCAATATTTAACACAGCGTTTGAGTTTCTTTTCATAACTACCAGCCAAATTAGCATAAATCATGTCGATCTTTCGCATTTCTGCAAGTAAAATTGTCGACGCACAGGTGAGTTTCAAACGACGCCCCCAACCCTCAACCCTTTGCATTAACTGTTACTATGAATGCCAAACAATTTTCACGCAATGTTTTTGTTGCCAAAGGATCTTTATACTTAAGCGTGGCTTGACAGCGGCGCACACATACACACACGCACACAACATGCTCTCACAGTACGCGCTTGTATATGCCTCTTTGTGTGCGTGTGTGTGTGTGTACGCGCGCGTTGTTGTTGGCAAGGGCAACGTCACGCCAAAAACCCAGCCATGTGCTTGCGATTAAAAAAAAAAACTACTGAGCGCAAAAAAATTGATTGCTGCTTGTCTCCAGCTGCCCCGCACAGCCCCATAATTTAACGCCCAAATAAAATGTTAGGAGCTGTAAATGTATCGCTAGTATTTCGCTATGTGCTAATTTTCCGGCAGTAGTGATTACATAATCACGCAGAATTTTCACTTGGCTAAAATAGCGAAGCGCGAATCTTCTTTATAAATAAAACTCTCACCAAACGCAGACGCAGTCGCCCTCGCTGTCGCTGTCGCAGTCGCAGCGAGCGGCGCTGTTTGAGTTTAATGAACTTCTTCTGCCTTTACCAGCTGCATCTTTCCGTTGTGCCATTTATTTAAAAAGTCTTTTTTGTTTAATTTCCATAAACATGTATCTCTGGCTTTTAATTTGGCTTAAAACCACGCGGCGTCTCTGGCCTTAGTCTTGTAATATTACAACAACAAAAACAACGACAGCAGCAGCAGCGCCGCTCTCAAAAAGAGCGGCTCTCCGCAAGAGTGTTGCCAGAAATTAAAAAGCAAAAAAAAGCTAAATCGAGTAAACAAATTGCTTAAAGTTTAATATTCTAATTTATTTTTACTAAATTATTAGTATTAGCTTGTCATTTTTGTTTATACATTTCAAATAATTACCAATATGTTAAGGCTTAAAATAAATAAATAGCCTAATTACTGCCAATAGCGAAACCCAGCTAAAAGGGCTAAAACTAGCTACAAAATAGCTTAAATAGCAACACTTCACTCAGGTAGCTGAGTCGGTACGCTCTCTCCTGCTGTTGCTATGCCTCTCTCGTATGCGCTCTCTTCATTTACAAAGCGCGTCACGTGTTGTTGTTGTTGCTGCTGCTGCTGCTGCTGCTACTGCTGACGCTGCCGTTAGCTGCTCTTTTCTGCATATGCGAGGCGCTGTTTTTGTTGCCAAAAGTATTTTCTGCATTTGTTATTGCTTTTGCTGCTGATCCGAGGACAGCGCCAAGAAGATTGTCCGCCGAACGACCTTTAAGAAATAAACGCAGCCCCTTCTCGCCCAACGCTAACGCAACCTGCAAAAAACAAAAAAAAACAAAAAGAATGAAATACGTAAAATTAATCGCCACGTATGTGCACAACATACGTAGTACGTGTGTTGTGTGGATTATGTAATGTCGCAAAATCAGCACACAAGTATATGCATATATATATTTTTTTCAATTGAAAAATCAATACAAATTCCCAGGCACACACACACACACACACACACACACACACAAGCGGCTCACAGGACGAGCCTCCTTTTAGCGCATTATTGTTGCCTGTTTGGGGTTTTTGTTGTTGTTACTGAAGAGAGTGCGTGAGAGCGTGAGTAGTGAGAGAGAGGAGAGAGTCGGAACGGGCTCCGGAGCAGGAGAGAGGCATGCAGATAATAAACGAGCGAATGTGACGCAAACAATTTTCGATGCGTAATACAAAAAGTTAAATAATCTATTTTGCGCTTTCTAAATGTTATGCATACGCCCGCTCTTTGGCTATTTGAACAATTGGCATGGCGCCAAAAAGAACGCAAAGCAACAGCAAACGTCCTTCACGCTGTTGTTGCTTTCGCTGCTATAAATACACAAATATATAGGTAAAAGGGCTTGATATTTGCATTGCATTCTTTTCCGGTCTAACACTCTCAGGCTTGCAAAATGCCAACTATATACATATGTTACATATAAACAACAACATAGCCAAAGCAAACAGCAGCAGCAACAACAAATGACACGCAAGGCCTTTAGGCAGCGCTAGCATTTGACGTCCGGCCAACTTAATAACAAACACGCGAAATATTTTATCGCCCAGACGCTAATACGTCACGATACGTGACCAGCGCTTACGTAAAACTTGGTCGTTTAGCGTAGCGTCTCTGCCCTTTTGGCAAATGTCTGTGTGTGTGTGTGTCTGTTCTCTCTCTCTCTCTTCTTTTGCGGGTGGAAGTGAGCGCATTCCTTAGAGGCTGCGTTTTGTCGCTCTTAACAGCTGATCAGACGATTGCATAAGAAGAATGTCATTCATTTGTACCCAATGCAAATTCGCATACCATTGGAGCACAAGCGAATTGAAAAAGAGTTTAGCTAAAATACAAATTGTTAACAGCACATACATTTAAATTTAGCATTCTATTATATGCTGCTATATAATAAATTGTTATATTTATGGCGCCTAATCTTTGATGGCTTGTGGCCAATCTCGAGTGGCACTCTTTTTTTTTTTTTGAGAGGGCCCACCTGCAATCTGCGGATATTTAAAGTTTTATGCTCGCTTGGACTGATAACAATGGATGGCGTCATGGAAACTTTGTATGGTAATAGAATTGTCGCCAGTGATAAGTTTGATAAGGTTAAAACGAAGCTAGCTTTGTTGATCATGTGACTGTGGAATCGGAATCGGAATCGGTCGGAACAGAGTTGGGCAGCGTCCCATTAAAAGTGCACTCTCATTGGGTGTTGCCTTACGGTATATTTACATTTGCCAGGCGTTCCGCTAATGCGGCCCCATCTAACGGAGCTTAACTGATAAGCATGACAAATTTGTGTGGGGGGCACATGATCGAGATCGAAATCGACGTGAGCTGATAGCAGAATAACAAAGAAACTAAATTGGAATTGTGAGAAGCGGTGTTAATTTAATTAGGTCTATCGATAAACCAACAAACTGCACAATATTTATAGAGCGGAATGCGATACCCCCCTCCCCCCATCCCCCCATCCCTAACACGCAGTTCAAATATTTACATAGCTTTTGCCTTGCTAATGAAGAGATTGACGATTGACAGTTGCGAAAACACAGCGCAAGAGAGCAAAGCAACCCAATTAGCTGAGAGACGCGACGATGGGTAACAGCAACAGGTGCGAGAGAGATAGCCAGCTAGCAAGTACTTTGAGTGATTGATGAGAGTCGCCTGTGATTGACACTGACTGATCTATGATTATGACAGAGCGCCGCCACACGCGATTAAGCGCCAATTGCATTTGCAATGCAACTTGTCGCTAAAGTTGACAATAAACATCTAAAACAACTGACGGAACACTTAACGAATGTTTCATTGAACCAGCCATCAAAGTTCCGAGCGTATGTACTTCCCCCTTGTCCGCCGCCTGGAAACTGTATATGTATCGCAATTAAAAGCTGACTCAGAACGTCTCTCATCAGAGATTTTGTTGGAGGCGCATGCAATCCCAGCGAACCGATCGGAACCGACGTCTGGTTACGTCATCCGCTTTTGGAACGGGTATATTTATACTTAATCTTTCTGATTAGGCACCAAACTCAGTTACGACAAATGACAATATGTTAATGCCAAAGGGATGCAATACTATAAATACCCATTGGTAGCTAACTAATGCGATAGTTAAGCGGCGTATTAAGCAATTACTAAATTCCGGGTAGTACAAAAACGAATGAGGCAGACAATTGAGATCGTCACGCAAGCCAGAAACGAGAGCGAAAACTCTCTCTCTTACAGAGAGAGAGAGAGAAGAGCAAAATGTGTCAAGTCACGGTCAGCCGCAGAAACTACTCAATTTGGCATCGACTCAAACATGGACACTTTAACATCAGCTTGCAAGTCTCTTGTTCACCTTGGTGCCAAAAAAAAATAAACCTGAGAGCATGCAGTGAGTCGAGAGCTACTCTCGCAAGGAGAATTGTAAATTGTGAAGGTCGACGCTTAGACGATTGTAAAAACGTATTGTTTATGGATCTGTCGTATTTAATTTAGCTGTTTTGCCAGTCGTAATTGTACTTGGATTAAAATGCTCGGTTAATTAACAAATAAGGGGCTAACAAAAAAAAAAAGAACGCTATCCGATTGATTGAATGCTTATGCAACACATTGTTGCAGATCGCGTTGATCAAAGCAAACTTTAATCTCCAGCTAATGCCCCGATTCCCGCAGGCCTGCGGCTAACACGCGACCATATGATCACATACATATGTATGTGCAAGCAGCATATAAGAATATATATATAAATATATACATATAATATATAATATATAAGCGATAAGTTGGACGCGCGTGAAGCCGTTGCGGGGACCTTCAAATTTTTAAACGCTTATCAGCGGCGGGGCGCTGGCGCAGCCCCACTCACACACGCCCCCCTCCCTATCCCTCATTCATACCTATACCAGAAGGCAGACGGCCGCCCGTGAAACTAATCTGATTATGTTTATGACTTTTTCACATTGTGTGTGTGTGTGTGTGTGTGTGCATACACTTTGCGCAAAAAAAAGGCAGAAGACAAAGAAGTAGCTGCCCGGCGATAAGATAACGGAATCGGCAACGAAGCCAAGCCAAGCGAACGTGCGTGGGCCCCCACTTGTTATGCAACGAAATGCCACTGAACTGAGTCCAATTAAGCATGCATGATGTGTCATCTTTGTAAGGGTTTCTTTTCGCAATGTGACGTATCGTGTGTGGGACTCACGAACACCAATGTTATGCAAGCACTACTCAACTCTCTCTCTTGCTCTCTTGCTCACATGCTCTCCATGTTTGTACATATGTTTTTTCGTCTGCTTTTTGGCACATGATTATCCGATCCAAGCAAATAGAAAACCAAACAACGACAGCTCAATTAGCACCTGCTTGAAAAGCGCCGGTAAGTTAAAGTTGATGCTGGCGTCGCGGTCGACGTCGACGTCGCTGTTGCGGTTTGTGCACCTAACAAAACGGCGTTTTGTTATATTTTGCGGCAATTGGCTCAAATTGCATATGTTGTTGCTGGTCACTCTGCATTTACAATAATCAGTATTATGTTACTATCTGGTCTGGTCACTCGATAATTTCCAACGTAAACCTTCACTCTGTTTGTACTATTTAATGGAAAAAAGGATTCTCCCTTTTAATTTGATTATCGTATTAATTGTCTTGCGTAGTATCGATAAGCGATGCAAGACGTATGCGTAAATTATTACACAATTTTATCAATGAAATCGCGCTTTTGTTGCCGGTCCAGCCAACCGGTTTGTGTGTGCTTGCTTGTGCACACACAAATCAATATCGATATGCATAAAAGAAGGCAAAACAAACAAACTCTCACACACACACGCGCACACACACACACACGCGCACACATTCACCTACACAAGCTCACAGCAGTAGCAGGCATGCAATTCAATTTGCAAGCGAATCCGCCGCTTGGCGGCGCCACAAGTTCACATGGTTAATTGAATTTGCTGACCCACTAGCCGCAAAAAAAAACAAGGGAGGTAGACAGACAGAGAGAGAGAGAGAGAGAGAGAGAGAGAGAGAGAAAGAGAGTGAACGATAGATCGAGAGACGGCCGCTAAAGCTGCGCGTACTGTCAATCAAACCAAATTGCACTTTGCGCTTGAGCTTGGATTCCGTTTTCATTTCCATTTCCATTTCGTTTCGTCGGGCCAAACGACACGCGCGTGGCAACAGCAACAAAATGCCGATGACTTGGGCTGGTCCAAAAAAAAAAAAAGCAAAAAAACAAAAAATAACAAACTAGTTGTAACCGGACGAGCGGATCTGTTTCTACACGCTAACGGTCCAACCTGCGTTGAACTTTGCGAATAACGCGCGCTTTTGTCGAAGTTTTGTAGCTGCTCTGTCTTTTTTTTTGCGTAAATTATGCAACAACAACAACAAAGAAAACTGCAGCCCCTGCGGCAGTGTCGAAACGGCGCTGAGTCATGAGAATGAAGATGAACTGCGGCGGCTGCAATCGTAGCTCTGCTCTGCTTATCAACAAAAGTGGTGTCTCTCTCAAGCACGCCCCTTATCAATCATTGGAATTCAGCGTAATTTTACGCGCAATTGCCCCTTGAAGTACAGCTCAATGACAGCCCATTGGATTAGCACATCTCAGCCAGATTGTGTTATCGATAAACCGAATCAAGTCTGGACATCAAATAGCCAAAATGTTGCAGCATACTATCCTTAATGTTAAAGAGCAGCTATGCGCCAGTGTTGCCCACTTTTGGCAATAAAAAGCGCTACCTTTTGGCAGGAAATGAAAGCTAGCAAAAAAAGGTCAAATTTAGCAGAAGAAAACATTGCTGAAATACACACACCCACACCCACACACACACACACACACACACACACACACACACACATTCACACACATTCACACACATCCACACACAGTAATGTGAAGAAATATAAATAATTTGATGTATTTGTTACCTATCCTTATAGAAAGTTCCGGCTATTGGAGCTTACGTGCGTCAAATAGCTTCCGAAACCCGCACCCTTCGCGAAGTGCTGGCCTGCAAAATACCTGAGGAGCAGGAGCGTATTAAGGCATTCAGGAAGCAGCATGGTGGCACAAAGATGGGTGAGACAACCATCGATATGATGTACGGTGGCATGCGCGGCATCAAGGCACTGGTCACCGAGACCTCTGTGCTGGATCCCGATGAAGGTATTCGCTTCCGTGGCCTATCCATTCCCGAATGCCAGAAGGTGCTGCCCGCCGCTGAAGGCGGCACCGAGCCACTGCCGGAGGGCCTGTTCTGGCTGCTGATGACTGGCGATGTGCCCAGCAAGGAGCAGGTACAGCAATTGTCCTGCGAATGGGCCGATCGCGCCGCACTGCCCCAGCATGTGGTTAACCTGCTGAACTGTATGCCCACCACTCTGCATCCGATGTCCCAGCTGTCGGCTGCCGTTGTAGCCCTCAATCATGACAGCAAGTTCGCCAAGGCCTACTCTGAGGGTGTGCACAAGTCCAAGTACTGGGAATATGCGTATGAGGACAGCATGGATTTGATTGCTAAACTGCCAGTGGTTGCTGCCACAATTTATTGTAATACCTATCGCGAAGGCAAGGGCTCCCGTTCGATTGACTCGAGCCTGGATTGGTCGGCCAATTTTGTGAAAATGCTCGGTTATGATTCTCCCGAATTCACAGAGCTCATGCGTCTCTATCTAACCATTCACAGTGATCACGAGGGTGGCAATGTGTCCGCTCATACTGTACACTTGGTAGGATCAGCTCTCAGCGATCCCTATCTATCTTTTGCTGCCGGCATGAATGGTTTAGCTGGTCCTCTGCACGGCTTGGCCAACCAAGAGGTGCTTGTTTGGCTGCGTAAACTGCAAAAGGAGGCTGGCAACAATCCGTCAGAGGATCAGCTGAAGGATTACATCTGGAAGACGCTGAAATCCGGACAGGTGCGTTAATCAAACATATCAACTGATATATAAATAATTGATTTTCTTTGTTATTATAAACAACAACAGGTTGTCCCTGGCTATGGTCACGCTGTGCTACGCAAGACCGATCCTCGTTATACCTGCCAACGCGAGTTTGCCCTCAAGCATCTGCCCGATGACGAGCTGTTCCAGCTGGTATCAAAAATTTACACTGTGGTGCCGCCAATTCTAACTGAACTTGGCAAGGTGAAGAACCCCTGGCCCAATGTTGATGCCCATTCGGGTGTACTGCTGCAATATTATGGCATGAACGAGATGAACTACTACACCGTACTGTTCGGTGTCTCCCGTGCTCTTGGCGTGCTCGCCTCCCTTGTTTGGGATCGCGCTCTTGGCCTGCCCATCGAGCGTCCCAAATCCCTGTCCACCGACGCGCTCATTAAAATGGTGAAGAAGTAAACTAAGCAAAGCGATTCAAGGATGGACAGACTGCATTTTCCAATGCAGCCAGTAGTGGCAGGGAGGAAGGAAGCAAGTTCTAAAGATGTAGCAAGCAGAAGGATAAGAACACAAAAAAAAAGAAAAGAAACAACAAAAAACAAAAAAAAAAAAAAAACCAATTAGAAACCAGAAGCTGAATATGTAGCAAGAGTAGCAGAGAGAATTAGAGAGACGACGGGATGGAATATTGACCGATAAACCACGAATATATAGATATATATGTATATATATATATACATATATATATGTATATATATGACGGACACGACAATGTTGATATTGCGCAAGTTTAGCAAGTAGACCGAGCGTAGTACATAAACTGAAAAATGAAACCAACCAAATACGAAATCACAAGCAAGATAACAAAAACTGCAACCGCAAAACAATAAGTTGGAAATAAGGCAAATTGATATATATATATATTTAGTAGTGTAGCTAAATAATAAATAAATCATAATGAACAGCAATAGCAAAAATGAAATCACTTAAATATTATATGTGTAAGCGCTATTTATACCATATTAAGTTATATAAACGGGAGACAACTGTTGTTTGCACATCAACCAAAATCAGACCCAAAAACGATTCGCTATTATGTTCAGCATTTTTTCCAATTAGATCGTGTCTTCTTCAACATACACAACATATGCCCTTCCCTTGACAACTGCTTATTTAGATTGTTACTTAACTACACTTTTAGCCAATATTATGTTGGAGGCGTTTGATACATTGACTTTACTTACCAAATTATCCAAACCACTCAAAGCACACCCCCGCCTAAAATCTAAAAACTAACTTGATAAACAAATTTACTTTTAATTTACTCTTTAACTTTATAGTTTTTTTTTTTTTTTCATTTTACGTTTATTTTAAAACAATGGAAACATGTTGTTATTTTATGTAATTTATTGCAAACCAGTAAATATAATAACGAAAAATAAAATACATAGAAACAAGTGGAACGAAAAACCTTTAAAAAAAACTTAATAAAAAAAAAAAAAAAACAACAATAATATACAAAGAAATGCACTCAATTATTTTCATTCTGGCCGTTTGTCAATTTGAATTTGCGCGGCATACTGTGCAAATCGATTTAACGTGAGCTTTAATGGTTGCACAGCTGCACAATTTATCGACCGGCCGCCGCAAACGCAGAACATCGATAACCCATGACATTTATCGATATAAGTTGGTTTGGCCTATCTGCTGTGGCCGATTTGTGCACCGTGTTACATCATTAATAGACAAATTGTAGTCAAATTAAACGAGACCTGTCCAACGCAAAGTGACTGAATAAACAATTAGTTATAGTTAATAGAAATGTGCATGCAATTGGCAATTTGGAACGCGATTTCATAACAAACCAACGAGCCCGAAAGCCAACACCAACGTGAACTTGCGGGCTGCGTGTTTTGGGTCGCGTTCGCCGGAAACATAAACACACGATGAGCGAAAGCAGTAATCAGGTTAGTTGCTGGTCAGCTACAACAAACAGTTCAGCTCTCAATTTGGAGACGCAAAACAGGGGCGAACGAAATATATTATCATCAGTATATATATATATATTTCGTTGATTACGATTGCAAACACACACACACGCACCCATACAAACACACACGCGCGCGCACACACGACATAAATAAACTGCGCCGTTGCAGCAGCATCTGGATGTGTGTGTGTGTGTCTCTTATTGGGTCTGTGTGTGTGTGTGTGTGCACAAAAAGCACAACATTTTAATTTTCGCATTTAGACTTTTTGTTGTTATGTGTTTGTTTTGTTACGCCTTTGAAGTCATATTTTGTTACGTTTGCCTTTTCTTTTCAGTTTAGTGCCATTGATTTTTGAGTATTTCAACCTAAAAAAAAAAAAAAACGAAAGAAAACAGTGAGAATCCGAAAGAAAAAAACAAAACCAGAGTTAAAAGCAGCCAAAGCCGATACCGATATATCGATAACAATAACAGTACTTGCATCAACGTGCACATTCTTATCGTTATCGTTTTAAAGTGAATTATTATTTTGTTGTTCTCTCGAGTTTGTGCTATTGCCAACAGAAGGGGCAGGGGCTGGGGCAAGGGCATTGCCATAGGCTGCATACCTTTTGTTTTGTATCAAAATTCTCTCATTTAACAAATATAAAACGCAACCCAAACAAATGGCGGCCTACTTGAATCGCACCATTTCGCTGGTGACTGGCCAAACGGGCCCCTCCGGCAACGACAAACACTCGACGGGCACGGACTCCGTTGACAATTCACGGCACGGTAATCTGTCACTGCAAACGTCCGCATCGTCCACGTCGGCCAACATGACCGACAATCGCATGTATCAACCGAATGACAAATCGCCGCTGCAGATATTTGTGCGCGCCAAGAAGAAGATCAACGATATTTATGGTGAAATCGAGGAATATGTGCTGGAGACAACCACGTTCATCAATGGTAAGTCCCGGAGCTGATACTCAATACCAATATGCGATTGCTAAACATAATAGTTTTCATAATTTTCAGCTCTGCACGCGGACGCAGAGATTGTAGATAAGGCAGAACGTGAGCTATTCGAGAGCTATGTGCACAAGGTGGCTGCCATACGGGAGGTGCTGCAGCGGGATCACATGAAGGTCGCCTTCTTTGGACGCACCTCCAATGGCAAGAGCTCTGTGATCAATGCCATGTTGCGTGAAAAGATATTGCCCAGCGGCATTGGACATACAACAAACTGTTTCTGTCAGGTGGAGGGCAGCGACGGCGGCGAGGCCTATCTTATGAAGGAGGGCTCCGACGAGAAGCTCAACGTCGTGGTAACTATCGCAGCACAGACCCAACCCCAAGCACAACACACATCTCTCATACATATTGTTTCGTTTCTTGTGGCTTGGCAGAACATTAAACAATTGGCAAATGCTCTGTGCCAGGAGAAGCTCTGCGAAAGCAGTTTGGTGCGCATCTTTTGGCCACGCGAACGCTGCAGCCTGTTGCGCGACGATGTCGTCTTTGTGGACTCGCCGGGCGTTGATGTTTCAGCCAATTTGGATGATTGGATTGACAATCATTGTCTGAATGCGGACGTATTTGTCTTGGTATTGAATGCCGAGTCGACAATGACGCGCGCCGAGAAGCAATTCTTTCACACCGTTTCCCAGAAACTATCAAAGCCAAACATCTTTATATTGAACAATCGCTGGGATGCGTCGGCCAACGAGCCAGAGTTTCAGGAATCGGTAAGATCGATGCATATATATATATATATATTCAATTGCTAGCTCTATTCTTATATTACGTAAGCCTATTTGTAAATGTTGTTTGTATATTTTTTTTATATTACCTTTATTTACCTACACCCAATACCAATATACAATATGTAACAACGCCAGGATCTGGCTAAGGTAATGTTATCCCGATCCAGTTTCCGTAAAATGCGCTTTGTTGCCTGTATTTTGTTTTGATTTGCGGCTCCATACATAAATATGTCTTCGGCTTCGGTTGCGCCTGTAAAGCGTTTACGAATGCGCCAAAAAAGAGCACGGCTAAAGTTACAAATTAGGGCCAAGGCATATTTATGGTTAATGTTTTGTGTTTTATGCAAACTCTAAAGCAATTCAGGCCAGAATCCAAACTAATGCTCCTTCTTATGGCTGCTGCTGCTGCTGCTGCTGCTGCTTCCTCCTGTTATCCGATCTGCAGGTAAAATCGCAGCACACGGAACGCTGCGTCGATTTTCTCACCAAGGAGCTGAAGGTCAGCAATGAGAAGGAGGCCGGTGAGCGTGTATTCTTTGTATCCGCCCGCGAGACACTGCAGGCGCGCATCGAGGAGTCCAAGGGCAATCCGCCGCATTTGGGTGCCATTGCCGATGGCTTTCAGATACGCTACTTTGAGTTTCAGGACTTTGAGCGCAAATTCGAGGAGTGCATCTCGCAGAGCGCCGTCAAAACCAAATTCCAGCAGCATAGCTCGCGCGGCAAGAGCGTCTCCGGTGATATGCGCTCCATGCTGGACAACATCTTCGAACGGATCACAATCTTTCGCAATCTGAAGCAGGATCAAAAGAATTTGCTCACCGAACGCATCCAAGGCACCGAAACGCAAATGATGCAGGTGACGCGCGAAATGAAAATGAAAATTCACAACATGGTCGAGGAGGTGGAGGAGAAGGTATCCAAGGCACTCAACGAGGAAATCTGGCGTCTCGGCGTTCTCATCGATGAGTTCAATATGCCCTTCCATCCGGAGCGTCTGGTGCTCAACATCTACAAAAAGGAGCTGAACGCCCATGTCGAGAGCGGCCTGGGCAGCAATCTGCGCGCTCGTCTCTCCATGGCGCTGGCCATGAACGTGGAGGCGGCCCAAAATGAGATGACCGATCGAATGCACGCTCTGGTGCCAAATGAGCAGCTGGTCACGAATAGCGCCAAGCTGGCGGTGCGTACGCAACCCTTCGAGATGCTCTACTCATTGAACTGCCAGAATCTGTGCGCCGACTTCCAGGAGGATCTCGAGTTCAAGTTCAGCTGGGGCATCACGGCCATGATACAAAGGTTCACGGGCAAGGTGCGTGAACGCAGCAAAAAGCAGCATACGCCCGCATTGGTGAATCGCCAGAGCAGTATTGGGGTAAGCCAGGCCGAGCATAGCCCAACTCAAGTCCGTTTGGCAAAGGCCGGATTACAAACGTTTGCTGCTCCATTTCAGCATACTGTCGTTACGCCCGTCAGCACACCCGTGGAGACAACGCCCGTTTGCCTGCTGCCCGCGCCCGGCGTTGGCGGCATTACGCCCGAACAGCTATCGGTTATATCGCGCTTTGCCATGTCCTCGATTGGATCGCAGGGCACCGTTGGCGGTCTCGTTGTTGCCGGCATTGTAAGTATGGTTGTGTGCGTTGCCCTGATTATATTCACCGGCTGCCTAGCAGGTGCTATTATATCGCTATGTGCTGAAAACCGAACACTTGCAGATGCTGAAAACGATTGGCTGGCGCGTTCTCGTTGGCATTGGTGCCCTCTACGGCTGCATCTATCTGTATGAGCGCCTGTCGTGGACCAACTCGGCCAAGGAGCGCGCCTTTAAGGGCCAATACGGGCGACATGCCACCAAAAAGCTCAAAATGATTGTGGACCTAACATCGGCCAACTGCAGCCACCAGGTGCAGCAGTAAGTGAACGATGGGCATTAAATACGGCATCCGGCCTCATATATATAATAATGCATCTGTTTCACATCAGGGAGCTGTCCAGCACATTTGCGCGCCTGTGCCGCACCGTGGACACCGCCACCACCGATATGAACGAGGAGCTAAAAACGCTGGAGGCACAGCTCAACGTGCTGGAGGCCAATCAGAAGCAGCTCAAGCTCTTGCGCAACAAGGCCAACTACATACAGAACGAGCTGGACATCTTTGAGCACAACTATATTGCGCCGCAGTAGTGGTAGATGCAGCTGTCACGGATGCAATGCATCAAGGAACTGCGTGCAAGCTTTAAACGGAACAGCACGACGACGACAACAACAACAACAACAACGACGACGACAACAACAACAACAACTTTCCCCATTGAACAAAACGAAACAAAACACAAAAAACAAAAATGAAAGATCTTGCACTTGTTGAAATTAATTTTTGTTTTTTGTTTGTTTGTTTTTTTTTTTTTTTTAAAGAATATTTTTGCCCAAATTGTTAACGCATGTGTTTTAGTTTGTATTTGCATTTTTTTTTTCAAACAACTTTGCAGCTATTTTTAGTTGTTGTTTGCAGACAAACTTTGTAATTCTTAACTATGATTCTTTCTCTCTCTCTGTCTTTTTTTTTTTTTTGATTTTTATTATATACATATACGAATATATTGTAATTGTTGTTGTTACACTCTGCATACACTGTGACATGGCCGGGCGCCATGAAAACAAAAACAAAAACAAAATTATATAATTATATATCTAACACATTATTATATTAAATAGTCATTGTTTATTATTGCATACAGTTAAAAGTGCTATTCGAATACGACAATGTCCTATATAGTATTTTCTATGATTTTTGTTCTGCGTGCGCGTTGTTTATAAACAAAAATTGACAGTTTTAATTCACCTCTCTGTTCCTTTAACAAATTGTAAAATAACTGGCACAAATAGCTGCAGCTGAATATAAATAAACATTTCTTTTTGTTTATAAACATAGTGTGCGCGAAAGGGACAGCCAGCTGCTGTGCGAGCGAGTGCGCACGAGCGCCCCTTCAGCCATAGATTATTAGCTTAATTATTGCAAAATTGTAATTGTTATAAACCAATTGAAGTACGCAATGGACGCTGCCAAAGTGGCAATATATTTATATATATATCGTGCAAATGTATGTAACGGGCAGAAGGAAGCATCTCCAAACCCATAAAGTATATATATTCCTGATCAGAATCAACAGTCGACTCGATCTAACCATGTCCGTTCGTCCGTCCGTATGTATGAACGCAAGGATCTCATATAAGAGCTAGAGACTTGAAAGTTTAGCTGTAGGTGCTCCTAGTGCCCGCGCAGATCGAGCTTGTTTCCGATAATCGATAACTTACTCCGTTTCCAAGTAATCGATAAAAATCGATATCGATATCCTGTTTTTTGGGCAATTTTGGTAAATAATAAGAGCTAGACTTGACATGTAGCTTCTAGAATAGTAGAAGAAGTGGGTTCAGGGTATCCCCTACTCGGAAGCTCCCGACTAAAACCTCTTACTTGTTAGTTTTGTAATTCCCTCTGAAGCTTCTTATGGAAGCCAAGCGATATATACGTCGATTTGTTACGGTTCTGTGCAGTTCATAGATCCAGAATTCTTGAGTTGTCAATAGCAATGTGAATCTTTGGACCTCTTCTGGCCATGTAACTATATTCTTATATATATTGTATGTAGTTTTATATATGTATTTTATTGTTGTCCGATAGTTGATCGTCCGTTACATAAATCCAAAAATCTGCGCGAGTTTATTTCCATTTAATATAATATAATTTAGGCAATTACCTTAAAGGTATTTTCTTGAATTCTCTACTGAAGATTTGGTCCTTTAAATTGTGCATTAGATACTTGATCAAGCATTATCAATGAATTCTCCGTACATTATTGCATGTATATATTAATATAAGCTTTGTGGGAATCGATTTCTGGGCACCTAATACTTTCAGTTCATATTGTGCAAAGTATTCCGTGCATAGTTCGGAAAGTACTCTGATTCTGATATTGATCAAAGATCAAATATAAATAATAATGATGATAATATAAAAACACAGCTGAGGCTCTTGTTGAAGACGATTTCCTTTCTAGCAGCGCATTCAACAAACCCTTCGGGCCTTTAGAAATGTTGGCCTCAATTCATAACAATCAAAAACCGAACAAATGATTCATATGCGGTTGGCGATCTATATTTTGTACTTGGCATAAAAGCTATTAAACATTTAGTTCATTTGTAGGCCAGCAATTAAAGTCTGACCAACAACAATTTGAAACGGAAACAAAAAGTATTAATTAATAGCTAAATACAGGCAAATTTATAAACGTTCGTTTTTTTTCTCTACAAGAACTTTCACTTAATTAATGTTAAGAAAAAGAAATGCATTTACATGTTGTCTTTTGCTTTTATGAGTTTTCCTTTTGAACGGGACGCTGATTCGGTTTGCTCTTGTGCCACACAATGGATTTTGTTTTAAATACAAATAGCACAAAGATGGAAAAATAATTAAAATATATATATATATGTATATTAAATGATATTTGTTAAACGAATAGATCATATATATATATATATATATATATATATATATATATATATATATATATATATATATATATATATATATAAATAACGGCTGTATAACCGGAAAACAAAATACAAGGTTGAACAAATCTTTTGAGCATAATAATGAATACAATTCTCTCTCTCTAAGTGCTGAATTATGGTGTTTACAAGCTTGTGTGTGCATAGGTATTGTGTGTGTGTGTGTGTTTACGTTTTGGTTTCTCTGCTGGCGTTAGCCGATTTCGCGGCTGTTGAATTCAAACAAATTGGTCGCTGGCAGTGCGAACGTCAGTTGACTGGCGGCGGGCGCTCGGTCGGACGTGGCGGTAGGTCGTTGGATGGTTTGTTTTGATTGCGGTGCTTGCGAGCTTCACAAGAAATAAGGCGTCGTATTCTGTTTGGGTATGACACGCTCCGAGTCTGGCACGGCCAGAAAGATTTGCGTTTGCCTCTGTTTCGCCGTATCGAAGCTGAGTATGGCCGCCACATTGCCACAACGATAACAATAGTTGGGCGCGGACCAAACAGTAACAAGTTTGCCCTCGAACATGTACTTGATGCCCTCGTTGACCAGCTGGTGTGCTCGACATATCAAGTCCAGATTGTTAATGTTCATAAAGTCTTTGGTCACATTATGGCCAAACAGCCAGCCAGCGCCACGCGGACTCTGGCCCCTAAAAGACAGACGGATTATTAGCCGAACCAAAAAATAATATTGATACCAGGATGAGTAAGGTCCACTGTGGCGTGGCTTTTCGTATTTGGATCTGCAGAGTTCTGCCAAGGCCACACAACCACCTGCCAGCTTCATATGAGCCATTTTTTTTTTTTTTTTTGAATGGCATTGCTCATCCTGGTATTTGAGTTTGAAGGGATTTTGGGCATTCACCAGTATTCCATGTCCTCCGGGTCGGACCAGACCAGATCACAGAAGGCGCCCTTATAGGGTATCTCACCATTGCGTTCGATTGTTCGTATTTGATCTAGCGTTATAATCTCCGGACTGAGACCGCCGTGCACGCACAGTACGCTCTCGTCAATGATCTGAGAATGTGGCGGGGATTAGCTTTTGCTGAGAGCGTGTGCGTGTGTGTGTGTGGTACGTACCGCAGCGATTGTGAGCAGATCGAATACCTTGCAACAGTATTTCCAGCCATTCGCATTGCCATATTTGCTAAAGCATTCGTCAAAGAAACCATAAACCTTTGTTATCTGGCGCGTCTCATGGTTGCCCCGCAGCAATGTTATGCGGCTGGGATAGCGGGCCTTGAGCGTCAGCAGACGGGTGAATGTCTCCAGGCTGTAATAGCCCCGATCGACAAAATCGCCCATGAATATGTAATTCGTGTCGGGCACCTGGCCGCCAGTTCGAAATAGCTGCTCCAGATCGTAGAACTGTAAGCGAAATTAGCGATTGATTAGCTTAGGCAATATGCGATAATAACAACATTGTGCTGCAGTTTGGTTGCCATTTATAGCAGTGTGACCGTATGCCATCATGCCCATTCACCTGGCCGTGTATGTCGCCACATACTGTGACGGGCGTGCTAACTGGCTGTATGTTTGTCTCCTCCAACAGTATGTCGCAGACCATATCACAGAGTTTTTTCAATTCATTTTCGGGCAAATACTTGCAATCCTTTACAATCTCTATCCATTTGTCGACATCACCCATTATTTCTCCTCGGTTTTGTGCAGCGCACCCAAAGCCAGTTGATAAAGTTATTGAAAAAAAACGCAACAAAATCCGCAAAACAGTAAAATACCAAGCCGAAACGATAAACATAACTATCGATAACGATAAACGAATGTAATGTGCTGTTCGCCGTGCGACAGTCGCATGCAAGAAATGCACTAAAATTAGACGAAGAAAAAAATACTATCGATATGTTACAGAAATGTGTAACATGCTGTTAACTGAGCTGTGTTAAATGCGTTTGAATCTCGCATTTGGCGCGAATTCGAAATGATTCAAATATATTGCTTATATTTTTGCATGAGCTATCATGATAAATAAGTTTGTGAAAATGCTCTACTGCATAATACTAAAAGATTATTGCTGCTTTTGCTTTCCCAATCTAATCTAAGCTTTCTTTTTTCATTCTTCTTTTGCCAGGGTTCGTTATCCCCCCCCCCCCCCCCCCCCCCCACCACTTTATTTTTTGTTGCCGGTTTGTTGTTTGTCTTACGGCTTTTAGCACAAAATTAGTTGTAATTAGCTTTTGCTTAAAGCAAATCATAATTAGCAAGCAGCACTGGGACCAAAAAGCCCGAGTTGAGGCCAACGTTGCCACGATTCCAGCTCTCGGCCTGCTCCTCCTTCTTGGCTTACTGCTTGATGCCGGGCTTTGTTTTGCAGCGTATAGAAATAATCACGCTTTTAAATTTTATTGCTGTGGCGCGAGCTGCTTGTTGAATTTCTATGCATCTGTGTGCGTTTGTGTGTGTGTGTGTGTGTGTGTGTGTGTGTGTGTGTGCTTTGTGTCAGCGGGGCAGAAACATGCTGGCATCTTGTTGTCTGGGGAATGGCGGTTGAGCGGGTTAAGAGGGTTGCGGGTCGCGGGTCGCGGGTCATGGGTCACCCGTCGCCTGTCGCCTGTCGCAGGTCCTCAGTCGGCCTGCCGGCGTGGAGTCGAGCTCGGGTGTTTAGAGAGTCTCATTAGAGACGCGCGCGCGGTTTTTCGCTGGCCAACTTATTTGTATTGTTTTTGTTTTTGCTCTTATTTTTCTATTTTTCTTTGGGTTGAATTCAGGCGGGCGCGGGGCCTGGCCAGACTGCTTGCCATGAAATTGGATTTAACAGAGGCGCAAGCTAACGCAAGGCGTTAAGGGCAGCTGCTGCTGCTGCTGCCAGTGGCCAGTGTTACCAGCTTTTCTCAAGCTAAACGAACGCTAGTTTAAGCTAAAAAGCCCAAAAATCCAAAAAAAAAAAAAAAAAAAAACTGGCAACATTTTATTTTTTACAAAAAGCTTAAAAATTAGATGCTACATTTGTTTATTTGCATTCATTATTGGGCTAAATATAGTTAATTTCCCAACGGAGATTTTCATTACAAAAAACAGATTTGACATGAAAAAAAAGCGTGCCTCAGCTAAAAGTGTTGCTGGCTTTAAAGCTGTCAAATTGACAGCTGAGCTGAGTTTAACGGTACTCATCCAGTGACTTTTTAACTTAAGCTTTTGCTCCAACTTCCCAACTTCAGCTATTTGACAGTGTTATATACAGTTTTGTTGCCCCCCCCCCCCCCCCTCCCCCTCTCATCAAACGCGCGCTGCCTCGCACTGCCATTCGACGAGCATTGCGTGCTGCATCATTAGTACCGTTATTTTATGCTCTTCCGCTTACTGCTCTTCGCCACTTTCATGCGTCTTTTTTACTGCCTGCTTCGTTTCCGCATAGCTGTTGTTCTTGTTGTTGTTGTTGTTGTTCTTTGCCTGGCGCAATGTTGACAATTAAGTTCAACTTGTTTTCCCTACTTCGTTTCGTTTCGACAATTCTTCGCCTGCTGTCTCTCTCTCTCTATCTCTCTCGCTCTCCCTCTCGCTCCCCCTCTGGCGCGCGATATGCGTGCGTTTTTCTATGTTCTGGCAGTTTTTAGCTAACTTCGCCCCCTGCCTCGCACCCTCCTGGCCGCGCCTTGCTGATTATCAATGCTTTCGTCGTCTGCGGCTGACTCGGCCTGTGTCTCTGCTAGTGATGTTGTTGATAATTATGTGTCCATGTCCACCCACTCGCCACTCGCCACTCGCCATTTGGACATTTCTTTTCCCTTTTATACTCTGTAAACAGTAGTTGAGAAAGGGTATATTTGCAATTGTGCAAAACTTATATGTGTCTTCAAAATTAATGGATATCTGCAGATTCTTAGAGCTAAGGCAACTAAATAATCACGCACACACACACACACACACCAACAACAACTTCACATAGAGATAAGAAGAAGCCGAAGAGATACAGTTAAGTGCTACTGTAAATCCCTGCGGCGTACAGCGTATCTCTCAGTAAAGCTTCTCTTCTCTTCTATTCTCTTCTCTTGATTTTGTTTTTTTTTTTTGCATTGTTTGCGCCGTCACCGTTGGCCGCGTCGAACAGCCATTTGGCCGGCTTTCTTTTTATTGTTGACGTTTTGTTAACTTGTTTTTTCCTGTGAGCCACCCGCCACCCCCCCAACTGGCAACTGGCAACTGCCATTCAACACTCTGCGTCTCTGCATAGTTCTTGCTGTCAACTTTTGGCAGCAGCTGCTGCTGCTCCTTGACTCTTGTTGTTGTCGCTTTTATTGTCGTCGAAAATTAAATAAAATTAATTACCGCGTGTGTTTGTACACACACGCACACACGCAGCATTAACACAGAGTCGGCCGCAGCTACAGCACCTCAAGCTGCTGCTGCTGCTGCTCCTCCTCCTGCTCCGTTGTACATTTCAGCTACAGTTTGACAGTCACACGCCTTGATTCACGCGCGTGTGCGTTCGAGTCGACGGCAACAAACAACAGCAAGAACCGCGCTGCCACCGTGGCATTTGTGCTATAATTTAACAGCTGGGCCGTCTCTTAAATCTGCAATTATTTACAGCCCACTTTTATGAAAATAATACTCTTCCATTAAGAATTGAATGCAATATATTTTTCTCTTATTAATTCTGGTCGTCGTTCTCTCAGTCTTGTTTTTTTCCCTATCTGTGTACGGGTGATCCGTTACACACACACCGCATTGGCTGTCAAGCCGACGACAGTGAGAGCATCTTATTTCATTGCTCTCTTTTCGGCGCCACATTTGCAGTACGCTGTCTGTTTTGAAGTGCCTTTTACCGTTGATCGTAGGCTGTTCATTTTGGTTGCGTGTGCGCTCAATCCTTTGCTCTCTTTGCTCTGCTCGCTCGCTGTGCTCCACTGTGCGGCAAATGGAAGAGCGTGTCAACGGCATCTTCATCATCATTATCAACGGTTAACAGGCGCGCGCGCTCCCGGCCAGCGAGGCAACAGAAACAACCTGTGGGTACAGCAAGGGTGGGGTTCGGCCGCCTAAAGGCACAATGTCGCCAGTCGATGGGTGTTGCTTCAAATTACGAGTGTACGCCAAATGCTGCCGGCTGCTGTTGACTAGCAGAGCCAAACATGTCCGCTATATGCCGCTTGCCGCTCTCTCGCTCTCTCTCGCTTTCACTGCTGCTGCGACAAGCTTACTAGCGTTCCCGCATCGCCATCATCTTTGCTCGCTGTCACTTACACACACACGCACGCACGCACATGTATAGGCATGCTGTCGCAACAACGAACAGCACATTAGCAACAACAAATACGCTTTTCTCTGTATCGTTTCGTGCGTTTGCTTTGTTTTATTTATTTATTGTGCACTTTTAACTTTGCACCCACAGCGGCCCACCCGAAAACAGAGTTGTTGTTATATTGCTTCTGTTATTGTTGTTGTTTTCTTTTGTCATTACAACTACAACTATTGGTTGTTGTTGTTGTTGCTGCTGTTGTTGTTCTTGTGGCCTTTGACTTTTTAGTGCTTTGGCATTTGACTTTTTTCATTGCTCTGTATTGCTTGTTGTTGTAGTTGTTGTTGTTGCTTTTGTGCGAGCGAACGAGTCAAAAAGGCGAATGCGAAAAGAAACTGAATTGCGTGAGGGTCTGAGCTGCGGGCTGGCTAGCAAATTGTTGTACATAGTTTAGTGCGATAAAAACGGGAATAACAGCAAAGCAGATAAAATTAAATAGTGGCCAAAACAGAAAAGCGCACCGAAATGGGCGTTGTGGGCGTGCACGTTGGACGTTGGACGGCGGCGCGTAGTGTGCAAAGCGCTGAGCAGATACCCTTGGGCGCTGGGCGCGGGGCGTGGCAGCACGTACAAAAACTAATCGTTCAATTAAGTTGGCGAATGAAAGGTAAAGGAGACGGATGGTGGATGGTGGGCAGAAGGGAATACGGCAAAGCATTGGGCAGGGCGTGGATGCCACTGTTTCGTTCACATTTTCAAAACAAGCATCATGCACAAAAAGTTAATGAAAAAGCAAAAACACATACGAATATAAAAGCAACAACAAAAGTATAGACTATGCGAACACCCTACAATCAGATGTGAATGTTTCGTGTGGTAGATTAAAATATAATTATAGGATAGGAGTAGGAGTATAGGAGTATATAATTATGTAGATATAATATGCCCGCTGGCATTTTAAATATGGGGTATACAAGCATTGGCACCAACTAAAGAGCATTCGCATAGTCGTATAATCAAATGACGCTAGACAAACCAACACACACACACACATACAGACACATACGCTATGAACGTAATGGGGCGTGGAGAGCTGAATAGCGGTTGGAACGGGGGAGAGGGGCAGGGTAAAGCGTAGCGAAAACCGCCGCTGCTGCTGCTGCTGCTGCTGCTGCTGTTGTTTAATTTCTTTTGAGCACAAAACAATTATCAATTAATGTAGCGTTATGTGCGTGTGCATTTCTGTGGGCATGTGTGCGTGTGAGTGTATATGTATGTAAGAGCATGTGTGCGTGCAAATGAAATTTTTTAAGCTTACATTGTCACAAGGATGCTGTAGAATGGCAGCCAGACTGAAAGTATGCTTTAGAAGGTGTGCGGAGGGGGTGGGGGAGAGAGAGAGAGGGAGAGGTAGCTGTTACTGGAATGAAGCGGGAGAGTGCGTATGTGGTGGAGGGGGGGGGGAAGTGCTGTGCCAAATTTAAGTATATTTATTCGCTCTGCACAGTGTGTACACACATATGTATTTATGATGT